TTAAATTGTCGCTCTGTTTCATGTAGATTTCTGTCAGCACGAGCGAATATTAAAATTGCTTCGATATTGTGCTCTAAACTCCTTCTAGCCATTTTGATCTCGCCTTTCTTTGGTTATACTTGGTCGGGTAGAATTCAAAGATAGAAATGAAGGAAAATATTTGCATGCTGCCTTAAATACAAAATTTCAAAGTACCTACAAACTTTAAAATTGTTGTTATGACAATTTTTTCTTAGAAGTTTTAAAAAGAACTTTCTTTTTATCCTTTTCTTGTATTGATTGTTTCATAAAAACATTCTAAAAGAATTGCTGATTTTAACCCTGCTTAATCCGAGCGTAGACCGACCTTTAACTGACCGTCCACCATTTATCTGGCCCATTGTATCTCGACAGGTAGTCAACGAAGATACGTTGGTTTTTCCGGCGAAATTCCGCATTTTGTTTAATTTTTATGTAAAAAACTAATAAACCGATATTTGATTGTGAGGTATCGTTGAATTCGTATTGTTTTATTCTTTCGAAAGATACCATAATATACTGGGTGTTCCATTTAAAAAAACAAAGCTGTTCCATTTTCCGGAAAAACTAAAAGTGATACCAAAATTTTCCATAAGAAAATATTTGTGCTGATAAAATATAGAAACTGGCGTTTTTTTGTTTATATTGATATCTCAATCTGTTCAGAAGTTAAACAGGGGGGGGTTACTTTACGCTAGCACTGTATATGCTGAAACATTAATAAATACAATTTTAAGTAAAGGTTTATTAAACTAGTTCACTCCAAATACTGCAATTTTTGAAGACAAACATAATGATCCTCACAGGTATTACACTCATTTCATCAATACACCGTCAAATTCATCAACACCAGTACCTAATATGGATGAATATTTATCACAGATAACATTGCCGTTGCACCGAACAACACATGAGCATTCCACTACATCTGCAGTTGCTGAGTATTATGAAGAAAGTACTTCAGTTTTAGAATTATAAAGATTGTTTTGCATTCTACGTTACAGTTCGAGTTAATTTCTGTTAGTTAAGTAAGGTTCTTGTTTGTTTTGAAATACTTATTTGTTTATTATTCGAAATATTTCGAATAACATTAAAGTTAGTAACCTCAGTACCTACAGGTTTTTAATATTTTCACAAAACCTATTGTACATACAAGCTGTCACCTTCAAAAAATCCTGCTTCAGAGCAGTATAAATCGCCCAACATGTTTCTGGTATAATATGACATAAAGCTGGAACAGATATACATGTAGAGAACTGTAAGTCCTGAAGAGATCGTCCTGTTGCTAAAAACCGAAGAGTAGCTGCTAAACGTTCTTCTGCTGTTATGCTTGTCCTCATTACTGTATCCTGCTTTGTTATGTAAGGAGTAACAGCTTTTAAAATGTATTCAAATGCTAAATTATCCATCCGTAAGTAGTTTTTAAAATCATCTGGATTATTTTCTTTAAGTTCCCTCAAAAGAGACAAATGTCCATATCTATCTTTATGCTGACGCCATTTTTTCACCCATATTCTTCTAGGTTTCTTTTGCGAAGTCACAAATACATAAAGTGCAATAATACTAACTGAACGATTATAACACTTTTTTCTTGAGAACATGATAAAGTTTGGAATAATTTTTAAAAATAATAATTGTAACTGAAATGTTTTCGCAAAGGTGACTAAACAAAGTATAGGAGTGTCTTCAAAAATTTCAACTTGGCAGAAATTCTACGCTCCACTCCAAAAGTCAGTAAAATGTCATATTTTTGCATTTATATGCACACTTATGAGTTGTACGCGTCAAAACCGGGTGTTCGGAATGCAGGTTTGGCACGTCGTTACTTTTGTTGGTCACATGCCGTGAGCGGACGCTCCAAGAGCGCAGTCCAACATGCATGCTTGTGTGCGCTCCAAACGTACGCTCCAAAACTGTCCAAAAAATTCTTGGTGTAAAAGGCGCTATTTTATTGTCAAGTGTGATGCCCAGATATTTGACTTCTTTTGACAACACCAATGGAGTATTAGCAAGAGATGGCATTCTGGGCTTGCCAAACTTCCTCATCCAGTTTCCACAAAACTGTCCTCCTTGGAGACTGACATCGCCAGCCCTAAGCTTAACTTTCTATGTTTAAGAGTGTTCTCAATCCAACCACAAACCTCCCTGTTCTGTTGGAATTTGTGTAGATTCCACCAATTCTTTCATTTTTCGTATTATCTTCTCGGTTGGGTTCTTGATTTTCTTATAGGTGGCTGGATCCAAAAGGCTCGTCATCTTGTCGTATTCACTTACCGATTTCGTCACTTCGAACTTGTTTCTGAAGAAGGTTGCAAGATGGCATCTGAAACGTCAAACACTATTTCAAAAGATACACAGCTATAGATGTTCTAGTTTTAGTTCAATTAACACAGACCGCGATAGTCTCGTACTTATATATTTTTTTATTTCAGTGGATCACAACAAATTCAAATAGCCCTTCTTCATCCAAGATCATTAACTGTGTATTCACTAACGATTAAGGATGCAATAACAGAGCATGGGGTACAATTCATTTTAGAATTATTATACGAACACAAATTACGAAGAACAAGTTTTAATTTTACATCCGGTTCGTTTGGAAACGTTCAAAATCGAGATTTTATTTGTGTCCAATCATTAGATGGTTTATTATCATTTTTCGAACAAGAAACTTTCAATTTTTGCTGTTTCTTATCTGATTTTTTACTCCCCGGGCCTTTAGTCTACGTTAGATCATCCGATTCATTTATAACTTGTGGATCGTCATGGAAGTTGGAATCATATAGTTATAAAAATTTATCTAATTGTGGGAGTGATAAACATGATGATGATCGTGGACGAAAAGTACTTAGTAATTGGAGTTATAATGTTGGAGAAGGAGTTTTAGATATTCAAACAATTTACGACGATGTTACAAGAACAAATTTTATTGCAGTTTTGGGTGAAAAACATCTTTATTGTTTTAATGATGGAGGAAAATTGAGATTTATGAAAAAGTTTGAATTTATATGTATTTCTTTTCATTTTTACTTTTTAAGTGAGTACATATTTTAAGCAATTTAGTTAAAACAAGTTATTCCTTGTAGATGATGGAACCCCGATGTTTCTTGTTATCTCAGATAATAACACCATGTTTATTTATCAACAAACAACCGTAAAATGGTCTGCAAAATTACAATTTCTTCCTATAGCTTCTTCTCGATTAACTTATTTACATATAATGGGTTGTTTGGTTTTTCTTTCCGAATCTGGATTCTTACAAATCAATTATTTAGGAACTGATCCAAACATTTTTTCAGCACCACCCTTAAAAAATCAAGAACTTGATTTTGATGCTGCTGAAAAAGAGCTGGAATCTTTACAGAAAATAATTCGAGGGAATACACCAATAGGTAATAATTTTTAATATATTTTAAGATTAATTAATACTAATTTTCTTCTTCTTCTGCGTCGTGTTCTCATAACTAAGAAATTCATTGTATATGAGCATTCTTTTACTATATTCCTCCATAACTGGCAGTCTTGGGCCTGTTGAAGTGCGTTTTGAAGTAGAGTGTCTGTTATCTCTATTACTTGGTTCAGTAACCTAGATAGCAATCTTCCCCTTGGTATTCTTCCTTCTACTTTTCCTCCAGTCCCTCCAGTCATATTACCTTGGAGGCAAAAGCTAGAATTTGTCCTGGTTGTGCTGCATCCTCTGCATCCTCTGCAGATGTCGGTGTCACTTATTCCCATGTTCAGTAAGTGCTTCTGTAGATGCCAGTGTCAGTGTGATTAGCCCTATGACCAAACGTAGGTTCTTCCTGGACAGCCTCATAAATAAATCTGTTCGTTTAGGATCAAGGTACATCAGAGGCTCCTTTGCTTGGCGACATCCTGGTGTCCTGTCCCAGTAGTTTAGAAACCATATACGTTGAACAGTCTTGGTGATAAAATACACGTGAGACATTAATGTTTAGTTGTATTTTTGCTACTGTTTCATAGAGATTTCTCATTAACGCTGCGAGGTGACTTGGCACTCCCATTCTGCCCAGGACTAACCATAAGTGTTCCTATTTGACACAGTCAAACACCGTTTTATAATCAATCTGGCATTAAAAATCTGATCTCGTGTGTCTCTTTATTATATCTACTTTCTCTTTGTAAATCCTGTTTGTTCAGGTGATATTCATGAATATAGATATTTGTTAGTCGTTGGTCTATTATTCGCAGTAAAATTTACTAGCAGGTGATATTAAGAAGATAGTTCTGTAATTTTCACATTTCATTGTGCGGCCTTTGTTAGGCATGGAGATGAAAATTGATGTTGTCCAATGTTTTGCTTTTCTCTACACTTTGTTACATTGATCTAAAAGCATTTTTATAACTACAGCGCCCAGCACTTTGAAAATTTTTGCCTGAATTTGATCTGCTCCAGAAGCCTTATTTGTCTTTGGGTGACGAATCACCTTTTCTTTCATATATCTTATTATTATTATTGCTGCCGGGTTGAGGGGAGCGGCCCCTCTCATCACCGCGATCTATAAGATCTATTGTGACTCAAACCCTTGATGAACCTTAGTATTGCTCCACGGTCTTGCGAACTTTACCGAAAATTTTGTGTCTTAGGCGACGCATTCACCCAATTCACCCACTCAGTCCAATGTGGAAGACATGGTATTTTAGGGACGCATGGTCGGTCAGGAAGCCTGAGAGCAACCCTTTGCTGAGGTATAAAACCTCTTTGGTTTTGCTTTACGATGAAGTTATCATACTCTTCGCCTATCTGTAACCTGGCAGTTCTTTCCAGTGTAAGGCTACCTTTGAGACCTTCTAACTACTGATTACCTGTTTTAAGTGGCTTTTTTTGTAGTCCACAGCCGGGTTGAGGTCCAATAAGGAGCGTCCTCGGTGCCTCTTTGGCCTTTGGCCACCTTGTCCGCCTTTTCATTGCCCTCAATGTCTTTATGACCTGGAACCCACCATAGAGTAACATCTTTCCCCTAGCGAGTTTTCTCAGGTTATTGATACATTCTCTGATTAGTGCGGAGTCACACGTTTAGGCCTGAATTGCCTTTAGTGCGGCTCTCACAGACAGTCTGTGAGAATGTTTATCGATGCAACTTTCTGTCCCTTTTCTAGGTTCAAAACGGTACGGAAGTTTATAGCAAGAACGTCAGCTTGAAAAATGATTATATCCGAGCTGAGGGGCAAGTTAATGCGGCTATTTGGTCCACTAATGCCCATACCTACTCCAGACCCAACTGTCTTTGAAGCATCTGTGCACAAAGCAAGGGCTTCTCTTTTAAGTTGAGGCTCACCCTTCGTCCAATCATCTCTGCTTCTAAATATGACCTTTGTATGTATTTACTACTGGTTAACATCTTATTTTCAAGTATACTTCTTTAATGATACTTTTTTCCTGAAAGATAATAGTTTCCGAGTAAAAGAATAAAATATGCTACAATTTGCGGCAAAGCGCTGCTATTATTTGACGCAAATAGATTTTTATAGTAGGCTATGGAAGTTGTGGATCTACCAGGATCTATTACTACATTACATTACATAGAATACATATCGGGTAGGCAGACCAATAGATAGCGATAGATACCGTTATCAAATTTCACCGTGCAGTCCAATGCTCTTAACGAACATTAATACCTTACTCGGTGAAAGGTCATTCAGATCCTTTGAGGAGATAAACTGCGACCCAAAAAATCGAGAATCTGATACGCTTAACATCAGGGCAGTGGCATAAAACATGCGCAACCGTCTCTGTTTCCTCCGCACATAGTCGATATTCAACATCGTCGGCTACACCCAACAAGTTGAGGTGTGCTTTTAATCGGCAGTGCCCAGTAAAAACACCCATTAGAACTTTTATGCTATTACGGGCGAGTCCTAAAATATTCCCGGGTTTGACAGTGGCGATGTTAATAGACACCTTAGCATGTCTCATTCCAGGAGAACTGGTCCACAGTAGGCGAAATCTCTCTTCAGCCCACAGTCCAATTCTATATTTGGCCATCGGAAATGATACACCAACTGCTGGTTCCGGCTCCACAAACGCTTCAGCACTGCCATCTCTTGCTAGCTTATCTGCCGCTTCATTGCCAGCAACCCCAGAGTGACCCGGGACACAGATCAGAGAAACTCTGTTACCACAACTAAGTGTGTTTAATGTTCTTTTACAATCATTAACCAGATCCGACACCGTTTTCACGGCTTGCAGCGCCTGGAGAGCGGCTTGACTGTCTGGGAAAATTCGTACTGTCATGTTCTTCACCCCTCTTTCAAGAAGGATTTTAGCACCCATGTCAATAGCAAATACTTCCGCCTGGAATACAGTACAGTACGTACCCAGGCTGTAGGCTTGCTTAATTCGAGGTGTCTGGCAGTATACTCCTGCTCCTACCCCTTCAGTCGTTTTTGATCCATCTGTGAACATGCAAATATCTGCATGAAGCAGAGAATTTTTATTTTCGATCCAGGACTGCCGCTCAGGCAGCGCAATCGAACATTAATCACTGATAGTGATCCCACCAAATCTGACGGCATTGATAGCACAGTATCAGTGCTTATAATGTCTTCCGCAGCCCATTGGTAGGACATGTCGGAACAGTTTTAAGCATATTGCTTAAATCTGTAAATGGTTGTTCTAGCCACTTTTTCTATATGCAAATACAGAGGAGATAGGCCAAGCAGATCTTCCATTGCTAGAGTTGGCGTTGTGCTTATCGCACCAGAGATTGCCAATCCAGCTACTCGTTGAATTCGTGAAAGTTTACTGATAACTAAAGTCTGTCGGACTTTCCTATACCAGGCTGCTGCTCCGTATGTGATCATAGGTCTAACCACAGTCACGTAGAGCCAGAACAGTCTTTTAGGGGTAAAAACCCAATTTTTTCCACAAAGACTGCGACAAGTCCACAAGGATAGTCTAGCTTTGTGCAAAATTCCCTGCAAATGTCCATTCCATGAGAGGGTTTTGTCTAAGATTACTCCTAGATATTTGACTTCCTTTGAGAGCAATTGTCTTTTGCGGGTTTATTGAGAGGTTCTCTCCCTTACACCAAGCGCAAATGGTATCTAGGGTCACCTGGAGGACTTTAGATATCCTCGACAATTAGGTTGCTTTGACCATAACGACAATGTCATCAGCATAAGCTTGTATTTCTACACCAACTGCTTCGACTATCGCAATCAGATCGTCAACCAGGAGGGACCAAAGCAGGGGAGATAACACCCCTCCCTGCGGGCAGCCACCTCCCGGCTGAAGCGTATCGTATCACCGTGGAGCGAAGTAGAAACTATTCTACTATCAAGCATATTGCGGATCCAACCCGCTATAGTTGCTTTCACTCCCCTGTCAAGAGCAGCTCTTTCAAGAAATTGTGGTATTGTGTTGTTGAACGCTTCCTCTATATCCAGAAACGCACATACCAAGATTTCTTTATCCTGCCGCGTCCTGGATACTCTACCACCTAAGTTGTGTAGAGCCAATTCAGCCGATTTTCACGCTTGATAAACATACTGGTGGCGACTCAGTGGACCAGATACCAATGGCACCGTACGGATATACCGTTCTAGACCTTTTTCAAGGGTTTTCAGCAGAAATGACATTAGGCTGATGGGCCGAAAGGCATTAGGAGTAGGGACCGAACGGCCCGCTTTGGGTATATTAGATACCCTTACCTTAGTCCATTCTGCCGGTACATATTTCCAGCCGACACTCGCTCTGAAAATTTTAACCAAAAAAAAAAATTTCAGAGCGAGAGTCGCCTGGAGATCTAGTATTACTAACAAAATAACACAAATTAATTGTGGTTTTCATCATAAAAACCATAAATAAAATAAATGTCCGCATGAACAGGGAACGATATTTTATTTATAGACGCCATCTTTAAGGAAAAAACTAAAGAGACAAAAAAGTACCATTAAAGAATGCATCTCATATTGTTTCATGTTATTACTCCATTGTGTTAAATGTACTTATAAAAAATTCAAAAGGGTTGTGCATTTCACTCTCTTAGAGAATAAGATTTTACCCAGTAGTAAATACGTACAAATTTTCAAATTCTACTAAATAAAAAATACAATGTTATTTTTTGGCTCAACTTTAATTACTCGTAGCTTGAAAACAAAAGAGTTGTCCTATGTTTGTATAAAAAACTTGTGTTATTTTGGCAAGTACTACGTACTAGTAAAGTTTCCCGATTAAAATCTGAACCACCCTGTATAGGGATATTATTATTGGGAGTAGGTCTTCTATGCCTTTTTGTAGAAAAATAGGCAGAATTTCATCCCATCCTGGTAATTTTAAGCCTTTAAAATACTATTATTACTCTGTTAGGTGTGAAGATTTTCCCACCTATGCTGCGAACTCTACCGGATAGACGGGTTATATTCATTACTTTTGGGTAAGCATTAGATTTCTCTTTTGGCTTTTCGAATAGCCAAGTTGTGCTTCGTTAGGGCTTTCCTATAAGGTTCCATGTATGCTCGAGTTTGGAATGCCTGACTTTATTACATGTATAGTCTTTTAACTATGACTCGTTGTTGTTCAAGGTCCTTATTTTACCAAGGCACATTTAATTGTGCTCTCTTGTCTTTTGTTGTACATCTTGATTCATATGCATTATGTATAATATTTAATTGAATAGACGCTATTTCAAGATCCTCTCTACTAACCTCTTCGCTGATGTGTCTACAATGAGAGCAGTAATCAATGAGAGGGAATTCTAAATTCCGTCGGTTTTGTCATATCTGCGACAACGACAAAGCGAATATGCTTGTGATCCGCTAAAGTGATTTTATGTCAAATATGCTAGTATGTAATTTGCGAACTGAATCGAGGCGTAGTCAGACTTTTTATTACAAAAGTCGATTCGTTACCTCTGTTGAGCTTATCTAAATGTGTACTTAATAAGTATTGGTAAAGGAACTCACCCCCTTCTGTTTGTTTCTGAGCCGCTACCTTCGGTCATCCTTTTCAGCACTTTCCATTAATTGGTGTTCAGGCCTTCATTTTGAGCATTATCAGTCTTTAGAATGCGGTCTGATTTCTCATCCGAACTGTTGGAAATAGGCGTTCAAGATAGTCTCTGTAGGTAGCTCCTTTTCATCGATAGTCATTAGTGATGACCCTTCCCACGGTTGTAGGGTTTGTGTTGCGGACTGTAGCCAGTCGGCTGTCTCCTGGTTTTCGCAGTTGATTGCCAGCCAGCCTGCCTTAAAGGTGGTACCGAGGAATTTATGATTACCTCTTGAATAGCCTGCATTTGGGCTATTATGAGGTTCATCTCCGGAAACAGTTAACCTGAAATTCCCATCTTTTTGCCTTCTAATACTTGCTTGAAGCTGGCATCTGTAGGTTTTTGTTCCTGCGGAAGATTATCTAAGCTAGGAACGCTACGCCTTTCCGTCGTCGCTCATTTAGTGGCAGGCTCTTTCGGCGTCGTGCTCTCTGGAGGTCTTTTGGTCCTCTTCTCCTCTTCATTGATGGGCTGTGTTGGCCTTTACTCGGGCTTCCTCATGAGTCAGCCCTTGTTTGAGCAGCCACTTAAGCCTTTTCTGTGCGGCACCGCTGAGTTTTTTTCTTTTACTTGGAGCTTCTCAATGCTCTCCTGTAGCTTTATGGTGTCTGTAAGACATTGTAAGATCCTCTGCGCTACCACTTGTTGAAGACGATGTCTGCCTTGATGAGCTCGGTGTTGCATCAACTTCTTTTTCAGTTTTGTTACTTTGTTCCATAAATGTCCCACGAGTAGCTATGGAAAGAAGGTCCACCATGGTAGACCCCGCATGCCGCAGTAAAGGGATTTTGTTTCCACGTATAGAGTCGTTTTCTGTGATGATCAAATAGAGTGTTTGTCACTACTAGTCCGTTTTCTAAGCAGAATTGAAGCATCTTGTCACCGCGCTTGTTTAGGTCACCCCACCACTGCTATTAGATAGTCATGGTCTTCCATACTTTCGAGTTTCGCGTTCATTTTTACTTCTATAATAGTAACTTTCTCTTTAGAAACATTTTCCAAAGTGTTCATTAGTTATAAGTAGTAGTGGTCGTAGTCTTCTTCTGTCGTGTCAGTTTGGGGCTTACACTTGGATTATATTTAGACTGCATCGTTTGTTTGCTTCTTGATTATTTCTCCATCATAGATTGTATCCAAGCACGGAGTTTCGACTTCTCGTGTCATTTCTTAAGAAAAATCCGCGAGTCTCAATACTTCAATGTTACACCTCCTTGCCTTACTATATAATATAGTTTTTCCCTGTTTGGAATAGGCCTCTCACGTTTCAGATGCCAATCTTGATATTTTTCCTAAACTTTCTTTCATGTCACTTTTCGAGTGTTCTTCCCGGAGATCCGACTGGACTATTTATATCTCCGGAACATTTAGAAAAAAAAGTACCTTCCCGTTGCCTTTTTACATGGTTTCTGTCAATATACTCATCCTTAGTGGGTGTGTTCCATGTATTTATGGGCGCCGGAAGCTCGCCCAACATCTCCTCACATTGGCTATCACATAACGCTTGCACCACTTGGACATGGGAGTGGGATTTGTCTATTCGTTAGGTTGGACTTTGGATATTTCTCAGGGTTTTATTGTAGCTAAGATGCCGACTGTCTTTGCTACCCCTAAGACCCCAAGACAGACCATTTACCTAATTATTTCATAATAATTTTAATTAATTATTTTTAGTAAACACACACAATGAAAATGAATTGACAACAACAATTTTTGTATCACCACATTTTAAAGAGTCGGAAATATCTTCAAACAGAAAATATTGTGAGATACAAGTAGAAATAATTCCAAAATCAATTTTTGAAGAAGTGCACGTTTCTATGTTTGTCCAACCACCTTTAATCATCAGCCCAAGAGCTCATTATTATACGAATTTCTCAAATACCACCTCTGCGATTAGTTACGTCCATTTAGAGTCGACCATTTCAATTCCTAACCTAACTGTTGAAGTTTCTATTTCGTGTATTACAAGTTTGGGAGGAGTGAAACTATATCAAAAAAGAGCAGAAATTCCGTTACATTTAGTTATGGAAAGTAGTGGGCCGCTTAAAGAAAGCGAATGTAAAGTAACTTTAAATATTAATGAAAATCCGGTGTTGCTTTCAGAATTATTTCCTGGTAAGTCATAATTCAATTTAATTATACATATATAAGTTCGTCAGCTTTCACGGCTGGTTAATAGAAATATAAGTAAAACTAAAAATTTACGGATAATGCTGGGCATCTATTAAAACATTGTTTTATGTTTCAATCTTCATCGGAACAATATTACAATCAGTGCTTAAATAGCCATTATCTAATGAGTAAGTGCATCATAGAGGAAACTGCTACCATTCCATAATGTATCAGTGATCAGAATTAAGAATGGACACCGCAAACATAATAAGCTTCATCACACCATCGGTCACAACTGAAGATGAATTCCTCCTCGTTTCCAAATCGTCGGGAGATGGGAAATCTACAGTAAGCAGTAAAGTTGTCGAAATATGACGGGGACAAAGCTAATTAGTTTCTACAGCTTTCCAATGATTTTATTACTTCTGAATTTGTTTTAACGTCCAACAGTGTTTTAATACACGTGTATTAGTATAACTCTGAAGTTTACAGTTTTACTTTTATTTCTAATTCTATTTATAATTGTTGTAAATTAAAAGTAATTTTTTTAGAGTATATTGGTGAAAATTCTTTTTCAATGTCAAGTAATGCTATTGGATTTAAAATTGTGAATAATGATGGTCCCGTTATAACTTTGTTAACTGCTAAATCTTCGCAACGATATCGTATACAAAGTGAGGATTTTTCAAGTTTAAATGTTATAGTTCAGGAATTGATAAGAAGATTGGAAAAATATTATGCTGCTAAAGATAACTTTAAGATAACTTTTACTTCTTCCTTACCTGTTATGGATGTTATTAAGTATATTCAGGAACATTTTCAGATTGTTCAAGATATAAAGAAGTTACAGGTAATGTGTATATTATAGATACGAAATATATTATTCCGTCAATGTCATGGTGCTTGTTATACTTTTCCTCTATGCATATTTTTGAAAAAGGTTTAATTAAAGCTGAATATCTTATGTTCTTAGCCTTGCAAGAACACATTACAAATTCAGAATTTATTGGATTTTTTGTTGCTTGTTAAATGCAGTAAAACCTCTAAATAGCGGTCACAAAAATTTATTGGAAAAATGGCCGTTAAATGGTCGTTATTGAGATGTGGCTGAAGTTAACTTCAGATTTAAATCCACAACAGATTCAGATTTATAAAATTACAGTTGACCAACCAACTAGTGAACATGAATTTTAATTATTATTTTTCTCAATCCCCACGGACTGTCGCACCCTGCGACTAGTCTAGATTATTCGAATAGGTCCTCTAGTATGCAGCCTGCCTATACCTATCCCCAGATTTACCGTAGGGGCGGCGGGGTGAATTTTTTAAGAAGACTCATTTTTACCACTAAACGAAGGATTTAATTTCCCAACCCCTAGTGAATGTCGCACCCTGGAACTGGGCTAGATAGTTGGAATAGGTCCTCTAGTATGCAACCCACCTATGGGCATCCCCAGATTTACCGTAGGGGCGGCGGGGTGAATTTTTTAAGAAGACTCATTTTTACCACTAAACTAAGGAGTTAATTTCTCAACCCCTAGTGAATGTCGCACCCTAGAACTGGGCTAGATAATTCGAATAGGTCCTGCATCTCCAGATTTGCCATAGCGGCGACAGGGTGAACTTTTAAAGTATAGTCATTTTCACCACTAAACACCACGTTTAGGCGCCTCATAATCCGGGGTTTTCTCCCATGCATCGTACAAGTGAGTGGTGCACCTTTCTGGGACACTCTGTATCATTTATTATCAAAATTGTTGCGCTTGTAGAACTACATTGTAAGTTGTTTTTAATTTTGTTTACAACCTAAAATTATTTAGACATACGATTTCTACAATATTGTAATTTTAGAGAGGAGAAACAGTTGGGCAAAGATCAACTTTGAAAAGCATATCCCTTGCAGCGTCGAAGAGGAAACAGCTTCATGTTGTAGCACAGATTTTCACGATTTGCAGTTTAATGCACCGTCGCCATGTTCCTCGTATTCAAATGATTCAGAACGTCATAGTAATGGTTTAATATGCAACTGCTGCAGCTGATTATTATTTTGAAGCCGGAAAAAAACAATTTACTCAAAAAATCGTTTCTCGTTGGTATTTATAGTTATAGTAATACAACAATTAAATTAATGAGCGATGATTTTTTACGATTGCATTCCAACAAAAATTTAACTGTTATTAATTCAAACACATTATCCGACAAGTGGTTATCGGATTACTGCAATGACGCGTTTGCGTTTACTTTTTTGAAAAATATGTCGTCTTATATTTATTACGTCGATACTGTTTCAACTCAGTTTATTTATGTCTTCGGAAAACGACACCTTGAACTTAAAAATGTATTTTATAAATATTATAGGTCGCGGATGCATTGTCAATGACTTATTTAATAGTACTGAAGAATTAGATTCAGAACAATATCAACTTTGGGTGCAGACTTATTTATTAGAAAATTCTGACAACATTAAAAAGCACTGCCCGCGATGTGGACTCTATAATGAATCCAGATATATTAGTTGCAAGCATTGCAAAAGATGGTTTCATTTTGAAAGGTGCTCCAAAGTTCCTACTAATATTTCATTTCAACAAGCGTCCAGCCCCAGTTTCCTGTTTACTTGTGATCTTTGCCCAACTTTTTTTCCTCTCTAAAATTACAATATTGTAGAAATCGTATATCTAAATAATTTTAGGTTGTAAACAAAATTAAAAACAACTTATAATGTAGTTCTACAAGCGCAACAATTTTTTTAATAAATGATACAGAGTGTCCCAGAAAGGTGCACCACTCACTTGTACAATGCATGGGAGAAAACCCCGGATTATCAGGCGCCTAAATGTGGTGTTTAGTGGTGAAAATGACTATACTTTAAAAATTCACCCTGTCTCCGCTACGGCAAATCTGGAGATGCCCACATAGGCGGGCTAAAAGACCTATTTGAATTATCTAGCCCAGTTCCAGGGTGCGACATTCACTAGGGGTTGAGAAATTAAATCCTTAGTTTAGTGGTAAAAATGAGTCTTATTAAAAAATTCACCCCGTCGCCCCTACGGTAAATCTGGGGATGCCCATAGGTGGGTTGCATACTAGAGGACCTATTCCAACTATCTAGACCAGTTCCAGGGTGCGACATTCACTAGGGGTTGAGAAATTAAATCCTTAGTTTAGTGGTAAAAATGAGTCTTCTTAAAAAATTCACCCCGCCGCCCCTACGGTAAATCTGGGGATGAGACGAACGAGTTACACGTTTGGTTCTGAAATTCTAGTTTTATTTGACAAATTTTAACGTGTAACTCGTTCGTCCCAATGATTTTAACTTTTAATTCCACATTTTAATTTAATTAAACGCAATAATTTCTATGTAATGTGTTCAATAACGTTTTTGGTTTATCCACTTCATAAACAAGTCAGTTTTTCAACCTATTTTGTAAAACTTCTACCATTTTAAGAAAAATTTTTTTCTCTTTAACAGCAAATGTAAATTCGCTCTGATGAAGGTTGTAATTCGACAACCGAAATATATTATTTATTTATTTTCATTCCGTAACAGTCTTTTTTATAATTCGCTACGGTAATAGAAGCTATAACAGTACTCAAACGGGTGCTGTAATGAGACTCCTTACAGCATCCGATGCTGTAATAAGATTTTAGTAACATTTTATGGAACCAGTTCAAGTTGGTGACATTGGGTCATTAATTTTTCTAGTTGTCAATGTGACAATTTTTGTCTATGGATGTTTAAACACGTTCTTAGCATCGAATACAACGTCCACAATGATGAGGACTGTTGAAATAGGTTTTTTGTAAGAGACGAGGTTGGCAATCGTGAACCTTGTGTGTGTAAGTGACCGCGTGTTGAGTTCGTTGAGTTGTATTAGTAAACTTGTAAAAGTTGTTATTAAAGAATAAAAACGTTTTTGTTACATCTTAAGTTTCTCCTGGCCGTATTTATTTCAATTAACCTAAAGCGCACTCCGCAACAAGGACATTGAACTCTGAGCAATTTCTTTTATATTGGGAGGTGTACATGAAACATTGTTGTCAGGGAATACATTTTGTGTTTTGACAGTTTCTAATTGTCAATTCAAATTTCTATTTTCAAGTATTACGGTGTTACCAACTGCTACATACCTATTTCCCTACATTGTCAAAATTTATTTATTTTTGAGAAAAAAAAGGATAAAAACGCGAATTACAAAAAATAGCATAAAAAACACGTTTCATAAGACTTAAAGCAAGCACTCATTGGCTTCGCCACTCGTTTTTCAACTTGAATTCGTGCACTTCAAACGTGTCTTACGAAACTTCTTTTTTAATATACTATTAATTGCTTTACTTTTTGACCCTTCTTACGTAAAAATAATTTAAAAATTTTAAAAGGACTACTCTACAAAACAATTTTTATGTAATGTAATCTTAACGCTTTGATGCCCTAATAATATATTTAATATATCTATATGTATTTATAATATAAATAATGTATTTTTAAATTCATAAATGTTTATTTAACCATTTTATTTTTAGAGTGAATTGCAAATTTTATCAAGTCAATTTCGACTCATTCAAAAACGATTAGTAGTAAAATATAACCAGAAAAATCCTACTTCGTTAGCTAATTTAGACATTGTACTGCACGATACTTTTGAAGACATCATGAGAGTTGGCGAGAATTTAACCGAACGAAAAGATTTACTATTGAAGGCTCAAATAAAATTATCTAGTGCATTACAACTAATAAGTACTTTAATAAAATTATTGGATAACAACAACAACGCAAATGTTATTGATGCTGCTTTATGCACTTACGTTTTTGACATAGAAAATCAGGCAAGTTAGAAACATTAATTGCAAAATAAATCTTGTAATATATACTTTTGTAACTTTTTTAACAGAATTGGGAAGATGTTGTCGATACTACTTTATGTTACTTGATAAGGACAGTTTTGTCTAAATCTGAAAAAGATAAACATAGAGCACCACATACATCATTCGAAGAAGTTAAAGATATTAATAAATTAGAAAAACATTTTAGCCAAGTTTTGGATCGAGTTAGTAAAAGAAGATCAAATACCGAAAAAGAAATCACACATGGTATAAATTCTAATTATTACAAAATTATTAAATATACAGTACGCGTCATAAGTAACACGCCCTGTCTAATTTGAAAAAATTTTGCATAAAAAATTGTTTTTCTGGAAAATGGGTCAACTTTGTTTTTTAATGGAACGTCCTATACAGTGTGTCCCCGGATTGTGTCCCCGTAAGGTATAATTCACGATAAATTTTGGAATTTAAATTCCATCTTTTGCAATTAAAGTCTGGATGACATAAAACGAAATATAACCAAGTTTTACGTCAAATGTCCTCAAAGTACCAAAGTTAACGCAAGAAGTTTGTTAACTGTTGCAGGTAAAGTGGCCTTTCTGAGCAATGCAACAAAAGTTGATTAAGATAAAATGTTTGTTATGTTAAATTATAGCGATATGCCGAATTTTATTAATGTAGGATATAAAAGCAAAATGCAGATTTTTAAATCATAAGATTAACAAAACATTTTCGATCTAAACTAAATTAACATAAATGCTTATTCAATGATACCACCAACACTAACACATAATTCAGCCCTTTTCCGACATTGTTTATAACTTTTTCTAATATGGTCCAACGGAATTTCTCTAATAACAGTTTAAATTTTTTTGTTTTTGTAGTGTATTTTTGTATAAAAGCGTTTTGTAAACCTGTTTTAACTCAGTTCTGAGTTGACTTCGCTCGAATAAAGATGTTTGTTAATTATAACAAGTTAAAGTCTTTAATTTGAATATACTCAAAAGTAACTCAATTAAAATACATCACAGTTTTAAACGGTCTAAATTGTTATTAAAATTTTCAGTGTACACTTTTTGTTTTACATAACCTCAAAAATAAAAATCCATAATAAATAAATCCGGACTTCTTGGCGACTATGGTTGCGGATCATATCTACCAATCCATTTTTTTCAAAATAACGTATTTAAATAATTTCTAATTAAAATGGTCGAATGTGGGCCGCAATATGTTTATGTTTTTTAAAAAAGTTCTGTCTTTCAAAATTTTGTACCCAAGCCACAAACAATAATCTAAACGTTTTGCTTCATCCTAATTCGATAGTATGGTTAAATTTTGGTTTATAATACGACACCTTACCATAATCCATTGCGTTCGTTACTGCAACAATCGACCCCGCATCATGTTCATCTAAAAGCTTTTTTTCCTTCCTTTTATTTTCCACATTACCCGTTTCCGAAAATTTTTTAACAACTCTCTTAATTGTTTTTTTATCTACTAAAAATCCAAATTCAAATTGCCTTAAAACGCATTGTAACTAATGTTCCCCAATCCATAGCACTGCACTATAAGTATTTTATGTTGTAATATGTTTACATTACAACATAAAATCGATTAATCGATTAATACTTGACAATAGGCTAAAGCTAAGCTATCAAATGATAATTGTTAGTTCACTCAGGTCATTTGTTTTTATTGTAAAACGAAATATTAGAAAAAAATTATCAAGAAAAAACTAATTTTTTCTTTTATATGCTAAATTAATAAAATTCGGCATATCGCTATAATTTAACATAATAAACATTTTATTTTAATCAACTTTTGTTGTACATTGCTCAGAAGGACCACTTTACCTGCAACGCTTAACAAACTTCTTGCGTTAACTTTGGTACTTTGAGGATATTTGACGTAAAACTTGGTTATATTTCGTTTTATGACAACCAGACTTTAATTGCAAAAGATGGAATATGAATTCAAAAATTATCGTCAATTATACCTTACGGGGACACAATCCGGGGACACACTGTATATTATATTTTCTGATTGAGCTAAAAAATACGAATCCAATGATACTTCGCAATCAAATATTGGTTAATTATTTTTTTCTCCGCAGTTTTTTCGTCTTTTTATTAATTAATATCATAAAAACTAATTAACCAATATTTGATTGCGAGGTATCATTGCATTCGTATTTTTTAGCTTTATTGGAAAATGTGGAGTCTAATATATAGGGTGTTACGTTTAAAAAATAAAGTTAGCCCGTTTTCCTGACAAACTAAAACAGATGTTTATCTGTTTTAGTTTGTCTGTATATTTTGCATTGTTTAATGCAAAATTAATTGGGTTAACAAAAAATAAAAATTGACGTGTTTCGTCTTATAACGATATCTCCAACAGTTTTTAAATAAGACATGGGAGTTACATATGATGCGTACTGTATAACCTATAGCGTCCAAGTGACCAAGCTATGGCAAATAAACATCTATATGCTAAGTTGCTTCGTTTCATAGGTATTGCATTTTAAAGTTGAATGAAAGAAACTTTTGTTTGAAAAAGACGAAGTTTTTTTGTGGGTTAAAAGTAAGATATTAATGGCTATTATAATTTAGTAACAATGTATCATCATAGAGGGGGTGAGGGTGCGGTGAATCCTAGGTAGGCTTGTCCTATTTGTTTTGCCGTACTCAGGGTTCTTGTCTTATGAGCTCAATCAGGACCGATACTGAAGTTTTTTTTACTGCTCCTTCACGAGCCCCTGTATCATACCAAAAGTGTCGGATCTAGACTTCCCAGTCGATAAACAGGCCTCCCGCCCGGCTATCGTAGCGTGGCTTAGGGCTTGTACGGGAGAAAACGTGGCCGGGGACGATTCCATTTGTCTTTACTCTAGCTGATGTCAGCAAACCTATTATCGGCGCCGATTTCCTGGGAGAATATAATATCTTAGCAGATATTAAAAACCATCGAGTTATCGATTCCGAAACAAATATATCAGGTTGAATAGGTTTCTTATCATACTCTTCTTCTGCTACCCCTCGCATATTCTCTATTGAAACAAAATTTAAACAATTGCTTAAAAATTTTCCACAATTAATCTCTTCCCCAAATTTTTCTACCCCCGTCAACCGTTCGACCACCCATAAAATAGTAACTAATTCCCATCTTCCATTCAATCGTCCTAGAAGACTAGACTTCGATAACCTTACCATAGCTAAAAAAGAATTTGAAACAATGGTAGCATTAGGGATCTGCCATCCATCATCTTCATCAGTTGCATCTCCTTTACACATGGTCCTCTCCGGTGACTCCGGAGATTGACACTTATCTGATTGTATCATCTTTTCGAAAATTGATTTAGTTCGGGGTTATCACCAAATTCCGGTTGCATCCGAAGATATTTAGAAAACGGCAATAACCAAAAACAGTAAAAGAACTTCAACGTTTCTTAGGAATGTTAAATATTTATCATGGTTTCATACCCAACCTATCAGAAATCTTATTCCCACTACATTAACTAGTAAATAAATTGCAACTTGAAAAAACCAAAAACATTACACTCTGGACAACAGAAGAAGAACATTCTTTCTCTAAAGCCAAAGGCTCTCTGGTCAACGTTGCACTTCTCGCACATCCTTCTCCAACAGGATCGTTTTCTCTTTATACTGATGCTTCAGAAACAGGAATAGGGGCTGTTCTTTCCCAAACTAACAATGGTACTACTTCACCAGTAGCTTTCTTTTCTAAAAGAATGTCTAACAGCCAAATGAAGTACTCCACCTTTGATCGAGAACTCTTAGCTATGTATTCCGCGGTTAAACATTTCTTACATTTCTTACACATTAAGCATTTCTTACAAGGAAACCAATTCAAAATTTTCACAGATCATAAACCTCTATCATCGCTCTTTTCGAAAACAGAAAAACTCGTAGGCAAACAAGATACATTAACTACATAGTTGAGCTAACCTCTTACATTAAAGAAAAATGCAACGCAGTGTCGGATACTTTATCAAGAATCACTATCGATTCTTTAACATCTATTTTCCCTCTGAACATATTTAATCAATAACATATTCAATCTTCTAATTTAGATCTATGGTGCGAAGATTCTTCTAAATCGCCAAGAATCTACATACCCAAAAAATGTCGGAAAACCATCTTTGATAAATTTCATTGTCTAATACATCTAGGTTTCAAAACCACCTTAAATAATATCAACTACATAGTTGAGCTAACCTCTTACATTAAAGGAAAATGCAACGCAGTGTCGGATACTTTATCAAGAATCACTATCGATTCTTTAACATCTATTTTCCCTCTGAACATATTTAATCAATAACATATTCAATCTTCTAATTTAGATCTATGGTGCGAAGATTCTTCTAAATCGCCAAGAATCTACATACCCAAAAAATGTCGGAAAACCATCTTTGATAAATTTCATTGTCTAATACATCTAGGTTTCAAAACCACCTTAAATAATATCAACTACATAGTTGAGCTAACCTCTTACATTAAAGGAAAATGCAACGCAGTGTCGGATACTTTATCAAGAATCACTATCGATTCTTTAACATCTATTTTCCCTCTGAACATATTTATTACAAAAACAATCTTTAAAAACAAATAAAAAATACCATTTATCTAAAATAAAAAGTCAATCTTCTAATTTAGATCTATGGTGCGAAGATTCTTCTAAATCGCCAAGAATCTACATACCCAAAAAATGTCGGAAAACCATCTTTGATCAATTTCATTGTCTAATACATCTAGGTTTCAAAACCACCTTAAATAATATCAAAAATCGTTTCTTTTGGCCACATTTAACTAAGCAAGTAAAATCATGGTGTAAAACTTGCATACCTTGCCAGAAAACTAAAATCCAAAGATACACAAAATCTCCACTTCATAGATTTAATCTGCCTACTGGTAGATTCGAACATATACACATAGATCTAATAGGTCCTTTTACTCCTTCATTAGGCTGTTGTTTTGTACTAACAGCCATAGATCGCTTCACTAGATGGCCCGAAGCGTATCCAATACCTGACACTACGACATCTACTATAGCCACAACATTACTAAACCAACATTTCTCAAGATTTGGTATACCACACACTATCACACACTACCAAGGAAGGCAATTCGAATCCCGATTATTTCGCCATTTCAATAGATTGCTAGGATCTGATCACATCCACACTTCAGCCTTTCATCCCCAAAGTAATGGCATATTGGAAAGGTTCCATAGAACCCTTAAAACTGCCATTGCTGCCAGAGGAAACGGCTATAGGTGGAACAACGACCTTCCAATTATACTATTGGGTTTTAGATCTTCACTTGAAGAAGATGTAGGTTGTTCCCCCGCAGAGTTGGTGTATGGTGAACCCCTCCGCCTACCCGCAGAATTTATTATCGCTTTACAGGACCATTTAAAAACGGAACTACTTCTAGTTAGTCTCAAGGAAACGTTTTCAAGTTTAAAACCAGTAGCTACTACTTTCCATTCAAAAATTAAACTTTTTATTTATTGCTTCCAATTAAAATTCAATTCCAAATAAATCTTTAAGAATACGTTTTCAAAACTAAAATATGTATTTATAACTACTTGACTTACATTTCATTGTTAACCTTATTTCTTCTTGGAAGGGGGAGTATTTGTATTAAAATATTTCATTCCTTTCAATAAACTTATTGATGCCACACGTACATTAAAACTGCTTGACTAATTTAAATTTGAATTAAATTTTATTTATTATGTTGGGAAAATTAAAACCTATTAACAATCCCACACCATGGGGATCTTGGCTTAATTGCTTGGGTCAAGAGGAGACAACCTCATTAAAAACCCCAAAGTGAATGTGAAACAGCTTATGCAGAGCACTTTAGGCTGTCACCTGACGGTCTAATCATCTGGGAAGTGATGGTTGCTAATAAGCGGACTCTGGAGGCCTGCCGGCCTTCAGTTTCAATAGCCTTATCGGGGATTGGGAGCACTGCCTCGATGGACTACCCTTTCTACCCTACTTGTGAGATTACTATGGAGACGCCCAGTAACAACAAAACCCTAGACAAGGGGGTGATAAACCTCGATCCTGAAAAGGAAATTAAAAAGATGGAGGATAGTCCTCCATCACAATCTAAACTTGTGATAGCCGGACCGTCCGCGCCCAAGTCAAGTTCTCCCTCTCTGGAAGAGGAGCAGGTTCTTCTGTACTCTGAAGGGGAGGAAGATGAAGAGGAGGCTGTTAAGGCACTAGACAGTCTCACTATTCAACAAAAACGCCTGCGGCTGCCAGTGTCCGCTAGAAAGGACCTGTGCAAGCTTATGGGGAGCGGGGTGCCTTATGAGACCGCCCTCAAGCAGGTGATTGAAAAACTAACTACTCCATCGGAAAAATAGTGCAAAGACCTCTAAGCCTTTGGCCAAGAGGGTGCGTCCTGATGGGTCGACGCCTGAGCAAGTGGCTAAGAAGCCCAGGCTGAGATCCAACCGATGAAAACCAAAGTGCCGACTCTGGTTAATGATTGTAAGAGAACATTAAACACACTGAGTTGTGATAACAGAGTTTCTCTGATCTGGGTCCCGGGTCACTCTGGGATTGCTGGCAATGAAGCGGCAGATGAACTAGCACGAAAGGGCAGTGCTAAAGCGTTTGTAGGGCCGGAACCAGCAGTTGGTGTATCATTTGCGATGACCAAATATAGGATTGGACTGTGGGCTGAAGAGAGACTTCGCCTACTGTGAACCAGTTCTCCTGGAATGAGACATGCTAAGGTGTTTATTAATATCGCCACTCTCAAACCCCGGAATATTTTAGGACTTGCTCGTGCAGCATAAAAATTCTAATGGGTGTTTTTACTGGGCACTGCCGATTAAAAGCACACCTCAACTTGTTGGGTTTAGCCGACGATGATTCAGAATCCTGATTAATTAACAAAAAAAAGCTGCACCCTAAAGGCAAAAAATCATTAGCAAAATTCTATCGTTGGGTACTTTAAGAAAGTAGCGATACACTATCACGGAACAGGTTATATGAGCAGTTTTAAAATATTAAAAGTATCGAACGTTGAAGATTTATTATTTCGAGAGTAGCTATTTTGCTCGATTGAATCGAAAATGTATGTGTAGGATTTAGCAAGTTGATAATATAGCGTTAACGTTTGCTCTGGTTTTCCAGAAAATATCTAGATTTATCCACACTGTGCTATTTCTTCCACAGAAAATTAAAGAAACTAACATTTTTGACATAATTCTGCGTTGTGATAAGAGTTCTATTCTATTGCCTTCTTTTTAAAAAGTTTCTAGTATCTTTCTGGATGAGTTCTACATTATTACTGACTTGTATTAAACTATACCATATTTCGCTTTTACATTACTTTCTAGTAATTAATTTAATTACTTTAATATACTTCTGGCATGGTTTTTGCATATGTATGTATGATTTATTTCTACGCTGTATATACCACTGGTACTTTACCTAAACACATGTCCAACCTTTTTTTTAAATTGTAACTTATATAGACACAAGCGTACATTATGTTGCATAAGCATTTATAATATATGAAAAACATCCAGATATAAAATTTAATTAAAATCCAGTCAATAAAGCATGCCCATCTCTCGAAGTCTGGCCTACCAAATGTTCCACGGGAGGTTCAACACAACGTGGTTTTGGCTAGGCAAGAAAATCCTCATGGTGCTGTAAGGAGTATTGGGTCTAATTTGGACTTAGAAAATCAACGGTTCACAAAATTTTTAAACCCGCAAAATATCATTTCCATAAAGTACACCTCATTCACGAGCAATGAATCGTAGTTTTGCAACAAAATTTTGCAACGATGACGAAGACTTTGTCAAAAACATAATTTTGTACGACGAAGGAACATTTACATTGAGTGGACAAGTAAATAGACAAAGTTGTCGGTATTGCGCTACCAAATTAGTTAAGAAAGTCGCACACCCAATATTCGCAAAAGATTTGAGGAAACCTTAGCTGGAAAGAGATGTTTAAATTTTTTCAAAACGATGGCACACTTCAAGAAGCTTTACTAAATCAGTTTTTGACACTCAGGGAATTGTTTAAAATAATTGGTCACCATAGTTACTCATGGCTACTGCTATTTTTATCATTTATACAAATTTGAAGTAATTAAACTTTACAGTAATTTTTGTCGAAAGTTTTCTTTTGTAATCAATATTAATATTGACTGTACTAGATTCAGAAAAAAAAACCTCTTTCAAATTCCGTAATAAAAATAGAGGATTGCCATTTGAAAAAAATATCCTATACGATTATAAATTTAAAGATATTAATTTTGTTGTTATTACTTAATTTTAAAGTGTGATAACGACTTAACGGAGCAATTTGTATATTGATAAGTGATGTCTTATTTTGGACCTACATGTACATAACTTGATTATTATAAATTATTTTTTAGATACAGAACCTTCTGAAGTTGTTACCGCAAAAAGTGAAGATGTAGAAGAATTTGGAACAGAAATCGCTAAATCTAGTTCAAGAATATTAACAGCAAGAAGAAACTTACTTAGCCGAACACAAAAACTTGTTGAATAAAAATAATTTAGAAAAAATACCTAAATATATGTGATAATGGATAGAAACAAATTTTATTTCAACAATCCTATCATTTTTATATCACAATTGTTAATAATTGAAAGAAATCGTGTGGTTTGTAGAAAAGAAAAAAAGTGTAAAGGTGTTAATGCCAAGAAAGAATATCTTAGAAATAATTAATTAAAAACTTCTTTTTAACTTGACTAAAATAACATTTTCTTTCAAATTTTTATTATTTTAGAGATACTTTTGAAGAAAGTAAACTAGTAAAAAATTAGTGAAAACGTTAGTTTATAAATGAACTTTATATTTAGAATATGCCAAGTAAAGTTGACAATAAATGGATAAAGAAATAGAAATAAAACAAATTATTACTATGTATGTCATTTTAAATTAGGATAAACTATATAAATGTTACATCAATAATAAATGTTATGTTAAAACACAAACAGCATTCATATATAAAATTGTTATTAAATAAAATATCAAAAATCTAATCAAAATAAATGTAATCATATGAATGTGAAGATAATTTTAGAAAACTGTAAACAATTTGTATTGAAACAGAAACGTAAAAACCCAGTCATTTTTACACCAATTAGAATGACACAAAGAGGTTGTCACGACGATGCTGTCACGTTCAGCACACATATCTTGTATATTAAAGTGTAACTAGAACTAACACTAGCACTATTAGTAGAACTACTATTAGACCAGAACTAGAAACTTTCGGTTTAAGCCGTGCGTCTTTTGAAAAAGTGTTCATTCTTTTTTGAACAGAGGAATATTGTCGAGTAGGATTTTCTTTCTTTGCTGCCGGTAACAGAAATAATGGAAAATGTCTTCCTGATAATCTCAGTGGTGTTAGGAAGTTTAATCGCCGCCCTCTTCTTGACATGTTTACAGTTTTACAACTTTCAATGGAGAGTTCAATTACTATCAAATTCATCACTACGTTGGACAACATTGGAAAATCTTCAAATTCTCTGTCGTGAACGGTATTATTACCAGTATAAATTATAAAATTATAACCACTTATTGATTCACATTATAAGTACGATTTCTTGCCGAATCTGACTCTTTTGAGTCTTTCTGAGAAACTTTCGGGTTAAACTGTGCGTCTTTTGAAAGAGTGTTTAAAGTTTCGGGTGTCAGGTTGCAACTTTATTCAGAAACAAGTTCGAAGTGTCGAAATTCACTAGCTACGAACGTTATGAAGCGTTTCCCAGTTATCCATTTCCCAAAAACATAACTCATCTGGGTAACTCATCTGTACGTATCTCAAAAAGTAATTTAGATATAGTTATGAAATAAAATGGAACCAAAAGTAAATTTATATGGAATTCAATATTTTGAAGACTATTTCTTTGAATCTTCAAATTTTGTAGTTGTGTATTAAACTAAAATTAGAACTAAAACTAACACTAGAAACTTTCGGGTTTTGCCGTGCGTCTTTTAATAAAAGGTTTGACGTTTCGGATGCCATGTTGCAACCTTCTTCAGAAACTGGTTCGAAGTGTCACACCGGCCGTGAAAGCCTTCGTACTTATATTTGTAGTTATGATTTTTTGAACGTAACCTTGCATAACCTTAAACATTAATGTTATGATAATTAATCTTTACGTAAATCAAGAACTAATTGAGATATCGTTATGTAGTAAAAAGCAACTTAAAGGAAATTTATTGACTATTTAATATTTTGAAGATCTTCAAAGCTAGGAATTTTTTTTGGACGAAACCTTTGCATAATCTTAAGTATAAATATTAGCATAATTAATCTGTAATCTGGTAATCACAATCCGAGGTAAATATGATACAATCATAACTCAACGAATGCAGAAAGCCTTACTACTCACCAGCACTTGGTGCAGAGGCAATGGGCTCAGCAACAATTCAAATAAATTTGAAATAGTCCCTTTCACTCGGAGAAGGAAGTTACAATTAAACCCCTCCATTGAAAGCAGAACTATTAACCTCAAAACAGAAGTTGATTACCTAGGGGTAATACGACAAAGTTTTTTAAAAAATAATAAGAGTAAGAAAAGTTTTAGAATTAAATTCCACATGAAATGAAGTTGTAATGTATTAAATCAGCCGAAAGGTTAAAAAAATCTGTCAAAATTTAGGGTACTATCACCCATAATCAACCCTTTGAAATGCCTCAATTGAGTTCAATTTGCTACCAATTAATACCCTTGGTACACTCATAACATATACCAAATGTGGTTTTTCTAGCTTAATGTATTACGAAGATATTGAACTTTTTAAAAATTTAAGAACCAACTTTAAAGGCCTATAACTCCTCAGGTGTATAACTTAGTATAGAGATAAGTTACGTTAAATCATCTTAATTTATTGTCCTCTACATATTCCTGCTCTGTGTTGGTTCTTATGTGAATCACCCTGTATATACAAAAGGAGGCTGATTTAAGCGTCTTATCACTGAAAACAGTTTCTTCACTCAAGTTGATGCAGGGTAACCTCAGAGGACACCTCGAAATCTTCAAGGACCCATGTCTAAATCACTTGATTGAAATTAAAACGGACCTTATACCGACATATATATGTATCATTAAAGAAGTATGCTTGAAAATAAGGTATTAACCAGTAGTAAATACATACAAAGGTCATATTTAGAAGCAGTGATGATTGGACGAAGGGTGCGCCTCAACTAAAAAGAGGAGCCCTAGCCTGGTACACAGATGCTTCAAAGACAGTTAGATCCGGGGTAGGCATTGGCATCGGTGGACCAACTAGCCACATTAAACTGCCCCTCTGCTCGGACATAACCATTTTTCAAGCAGAAGTTCTTGCTATAAACTTCTGCACCGCTTTGAACCTACAAAAGGCACAGAAAGGTGCATCCATAAACATTTTTATAGATAGTCGGGCCGCCCTAAAGGTAATTCAGGCCTACACGTGTGACTCCGCACTGATCAGAGAGTGTACCAGCAATCTGAGAGAACTCGCTAGGGGCAATGATGTTACTTCATGGTGGGTTCCAGGTCACAGCAGTATTGAGGACAATGAGAAGGCAGAGAAGCTGGCCAGCGAGGCAGCGAATATGCCCTTCATTGGGCCCCCAACCCGGTTGTGGACTACAAAAAAGCCACCTAAAACGAATAATCAACAGTTGGGTCTCAAAGGTAGCCTTACGCTGGAAAGAACTTTCAGGTCACAGACAAGCGAAGAGTATGATTACTCCGGCGCAAAACAAAACCAAAGAGGTTTTATGCCTCAGCAAAGGAGATCTAAAGACGCTCTCAGGTTACCTGGCCGGCCATGCGCCCCTAAAATACCACCTCTTCCACATTGGACAAGCTGAAGATCAAATTTGTCGGCTTTGCAACAACGAGTCAGAAAGAGCTGAACGTTGAAAGCTCTCTTGACACCTACCGACATAAATGTACAATACTAAGGTTCATCAAGGATTACATTTGCCCTAAACTTTTGGAGGGCTAAAGTTACAATAGATCTTATAGATCACGGTAACGAGAGGGTCGCTCCCCTCAGCCCGGCAGCAATAATAATAATAAATCTGTACGTATTTCAAACTACAGTGGAACCTCGCATAACATAATTCACAATGTTTCCTATAAATGTAAATTAATATAAAACCTGATAATGCGTTATATTGCAAATAGATTTCAACATCTTTTATATAACGTTTATTTAAAGAAATATCTATCTAGTTACACATAAATTGTTAACGAACGAAATAATCTTTATCTTTTCTTCTGTACCGTATTGAAAAAACCTGGAATGTGATTCAATCAAGTAGTTTATTATTTATAAATTTATGACACATACCTAATCCCTTTTTACTAGAAAGCCATCTAGGGCTTAATCTTGCTTTGTGGCTGTTTGCTTTCCTCGGCGCTTCAAAATTTGTTCAAAATGTGACACCGCATTGTCGTAAAATAAATTTGCAGCTCGCATAGCCACAACCTCATTAGGGTGATGTTTTTCAAAGAATGACGCAACATTTTCCCATGCTTTTAGCATTTCTTTAATTGCATCGGATGATGGTTCCTTTAGTGTTTTCTTGTCTGAAACACTTTCCTCCTCATCTTCTTGCTGTGATAGACGGAGCAATTCTGTAAGTTCTTCGGTGGTCAAATCTTGATTATGCTCTTCCACAAGTTCATCAATATCATTGCTATTTACCTCCAGTCCAATGGTATTGGCTAAAGATACAATCTCGTTGACTAGAGGCTCTACATCTAGTGTATCAACCTTCTCAGAATGACATTCAACAACGCTCTCCGGCCAAAGTTTTTTCCAGGCCAAAATGAGGGTCCTTTTAGTAACCCCTTCCCACGCCTTATCAATTATTTTGAGGCAGGCAACGATATGTAAGTGATATTTCCAGAACTCTTCGAGAGTGAGGTTTGTCTCTTTAGTGACCTCAAAACAACGTTCGAAGAGTATTTTAGTGTAAAGTTTTTTGAAATTGGAAATAACCTGCTGGTCCATAGGCTGAAGTAACGGAGTGGTATTGGAAGGCAGAAAAAGGATTTTGATGAAATTAAATTCTTCAAGGAGTTCGTTTTGTAGGCCTGGGGGATGAGCAGGTCCGTTGTCCATTACAAGTAAAGCTTGGAGTGGTAAATTCATCTCTAACAAATATTTTTTCACAGAAGGACCAAACACTTTATTGATCCAGTCACTGAAAATATCGCGTGTCACCCAAGCCTTGTTGTTGGATCTCCACATCACATTTAACTTGCTCTTTTGGATTTTATATTTTTTGAAGGCTCGTGGAGTTTCTGCGTGGTAAACAACTAGCGGTTTAAGTTTTAAATCGCCGCTTGCATTAGCACAAAATAGCAGCGTGAGCCGGTCTTTCATTGGCTTGTGGCCGGGCAATACATTTTCTTCTACTGTTATGTACGTTCGCTTCGGCATCTTTTTCCAGAAGAGACCCGTTTCATCGCAATTAAATACTTGTTGTGGGAGATAACCTTTAGTATCTACAAGCTTCTTGAAGTCATCGATGAAAATTTCGGCAGCCTTTGTGTCAGAACTTGCAGCTTCACCATGCCTCACAACGCTGTGGATGCCGGTTCTTCTTTTAAACTTTTCGAACCATCCACGACTAGCTTTAAATACTGTTTCTTCGGCCGTTGATGATCCTGGTGTTTTCTTAACAAGGTCGGCAAAAATTACTTTTGCTTTCTCACAAATGGTGTTTTCGTTAATTGTTGCGTGTTGTAATTGCTTTTCATTTATCCATATGATAAGAAGCCTTTCAATATCGTTGAGAATTCGTAACCGTTGGGTAGAATTTCTTGTCACTCCTTTTGATGCATCTACGTATTTAATCTTATCCTTGTTCTTGAGGATAGTGCAAATCGTTGATGTGCAGCGATTGTACGTGCGAGCTAGATCAGACACACTCACACCTTGTTCACGCTTTTCAATGATTTCCTGCTTCGTTTCAAGGGTTATTTTTCTTCTTTTATACATAGTTGGTTTCTTGTGGTTTATTTGTCGGGGATGTTATGAATAGTTATTAAACCTTATACAAAATCGAATATCTAAACAAAAACGTCACTAACACATTAACGTAGTGAGTGGTAAACACACAGACAAAGCACTAGCGACGAAAGTCTCAACGCACAACCGAGTGACGAGAATAAGGGTCTTACTCTATGCGTGTTACTCGTTATGCGAAATATCGATCGTTAAGCGAGACAATTTATTTTACTCGTTATGCGAAATGCTCGTTATGAGAGGTACTCGTTAAGCGAAGTTCCACTGTAATTGAGTTTGCTTATCTCACTTCAACGATTTACTGTCGCAGTTCTTCTGCGCAACTGACCTACCAAGACTGTATATCTGTGATACGCAGTTGCGATACGGGGGAATACATCGAAATTGCGTTGCAACGGAGTACGGGAAGTTTTTTTTTATTTTTAAATTTTTCATTGTTGTTCTAGATTGTTCTAGAGTTGTTCTACATTGTTCCAGAGCGGCAAATAGAAAAACTAAAAACTCGACGAGAAAAATCGAAAAAACGGGTTTTTTGACTAGCCCCCCATTTTTGGAAAAATCGGATTTTCTTTGTTGTTCTGGGTTGTTCTAGTTATTGTTCTAGAAAACCAAAATTATGGGATACAGCATTACGAAGTTATAACTAAAAATAGGTTTGGGTGCCAAAATGTCTAGTTGATTGCTGTGACCATAGTTTTTCTATTTTCAATTCCATATTGCAAATATATACTTATTATACCTAAAGCAATCAGGAACAGTTATTATTTTCAGTAGAACAACTCTATAAAGGACACTTTACTCTTTGAAAATTAAAGTTTTTGGAAGTTTCAGTCAGTAATACTTGCGTCAGCGGTTTTAAATTACACAATAACAATTAAAAAACATATAACCATCTAAAATAACTCAAACTTTGCTAAAACAACTAAGGACCATGAATCACGTTTATTGTCTGAACTTAACACACAACAACTATACGAGTGCCGCCATATTCTATTCGATTGCTTACGACACCATTTTAGTCGTTTCTATAACTTATAGTTAGGCAACTTCTAACACATCTTCCCTTTCAAAACTAAAACTATTGTATCAAATATGATCGAGGATTTTGATCTATTTCCACTATCTTTCCAGTCTCCCATGTATTAGTAATCTGATTGTATACAGTAATGTCATAATTCGGCTTTAAAGGTTCTAAATTTTTAGCATTATTATTATACTATTTTTTTCCTTTCTCTTGTCTACTCTTTAACTTTTCAAGAACGTCACCACAAAGTTTAGGTTTTAAAAGATTTTCAGAAATAGGGACTTTAATCTTACACACTCGGCTCATTAATAATTCTGATGGACTATAATTTAAATATTTTAATGGTGTATTACGATATTGTAATAATGCGTAATATAAATCTTTTCCTTCTTCCATCGTCATCTTTAACAACTTCTTTGCAATACCTACTCCCTTCTCAGCCAAACCGTTTGATTTTGGATAGTTTCGACTTCTAGTAACCACCAGAAAATTCCAATCATTTGCAAAATTGTGCATGATTAAACTGTTGAATGGTACATTATCACATGTTACCATGTCTGGAGAACCTAATCTCGAAAATACTGACTTCATTCCCTTTATTACCGATTCCACTGACTTATCCTTCAATGCAACTACTTCCAGCCAATTAGAATATGAATCAAATAATACAAGATAACTAACACCAGCATACGTAAATATATCTGAGCCAATTCGTTGCCACGGCCGTTGAGGTATTGGATAGGGATTTAAGGTTTCTTTCTGTTGCTTTGAACCATGTTTTTCGCATAACTTGCATTTTTTTACGAAATTTTCAATATCACTTGAAATGCCTGGCCAAAAGAATATTTGTCTGGTTCTCGCTTTCGTTTTCTCTATCCCGAAATGACCTTCATGAATCAATTTTAACATTTCATTTCTTAAATTGGTTGGAACGACTATTTTATTACCCACAAAAACTAATCCATCCACAACAGATAACTCTTCTCTTACCTTATAAAAAATCTTAATAAATGGTGGAATCTGTTTTGATAACTGAGGCCAATTGTCATAATACTATGAAATAATTTTTTGTAAGACAATGTCTTTTAAAGTTTCATGTTTAAACTGATTGATACGTGCACTCGACATGGCTAGATTAGTGACCAAAGAATGAACAGCAAATTCAAAACTACTATCGGAAGGTAAACCTTTTTTATTCAAAAATGCTCTGGATAATGCACCTGCAATATATAAATATTTTCCTGGCTTGTAGTTTACAGATAAATCATATCCCAACAATCTCATTCTCATTCTTTGCAATCTAGGTGTAATTTTGTGTAATTCTTTTTGAAAAATAGCAACAAGTGGCTTGTGATCCGTATTGACATTAGTGTAACGACCATAAATAAGAAAGTGAAACTTCTGTATTGCAAAAACAATCGCCAACATTTCCTTTTCGATCTGGGCATATCTCTTTTCTGCATCATTTAGTCTTCTTGATACAAAACCAACTGGGTGATCATCTTGCAACAAACAAGCTCCCAATACATCCTTAGAAGCATCTGTTTCAATAACAATAGGTTTGCTAGGAGCATAAAATCTCAAAATTGGGGCTGAAGTGAGTAACGTTTTAAGTAATGACAAGGACTCATCATGATCGCTTGTACATGACCAAGGTACATTGTTTTTTGTCAATTCTCTTAAAGGGGCAGTAACTTTAGACATATTTGGAATGAACTTTGCCACAAACTTTGCCATTCCTAACAATCTTAACACATCTGACTTATTGCATGGATTTGGCATATGAATTATTGCTTCAATATATCTAGGATTTGGTTCCATTCCTCGTTTAGAATATATCTGACCCATAAACTCAATGTTAGGAGATTTAAATTGAATTTTTAATTTGTTAAATTTTATGTTATACTTTGATGGCGTCTCTAAAACTGTTTTTAAGTTTTCATAATGTTCCTGTTCTGTAACTCCTGATATTACAATGTCATCGAAATACATTCCCACACCCTTAAGGCTACCAAATATTTCATAAGTTTTTTTCTGAAAAACTTCTGGGGCGGAACAGATTCCAAAAGGTAAACGACAAAATTGATAACAACCAAATGGTGTGCCAAACGTACAAAGATCTGAACTCTCCTTGACAATTTTGACTTGAAAATAACCATCCTTCATGTCGATTATTGTAAAAAATTGTTTTCCGGAAAATTGACTACTTATTTCATCTGCGGTCGGGATTAAAAAGTATTCACGTTTGATAGCTTTGTTCAAAAATTTCGAATCAAGGCACAATCTTAAGTCTTTGTTATATTTTTTTTCAACAATAACTAATGGGTTGAGCCATTCAGTCGTTTTTTTTGCCTTTTTTATTATTCCCTGTTTTTCTAATTGTTCTAACTTTGTTTTGAGTCGATCATGTAATATTTGAGGGACTCTTCTAATCGGTTGAAAGTGAGGAATTACATCTTTTACTAAAGTAATATGGTGCTCTGAAGGAAAACACCCTAAACCTTCAAAAACACTTGGATACTTATTAACTAAATCCTCCACTGACCTATCTAATCTCTTAATTAACTTTAAATCGGTACATGCCTGTAAACCCAACAAAGGCATTTGATCTTCATCTACAATAACAAATTTTACATCCGCGATTTTGTTTCTTACTTTACATTTTAAAGTAACTTTTCCTATCGGCTCTATTTTAAAGATTCCATAAGCAACTAACGCTATTTTCGTTTTAAAAACTTTAGGCTTTATCTTAATTAATTTAAATACTTTTAGAGGCAAGACACTAATCTCTGCTCCACTATCTAGCTTAAATTCTACTAACTGATCTTGTACATCTACAGATTGAGACCACTGAACTGAATTCAACAACCTTGTAGACTCTTTTGATATTATCGAATCAATGTAAACCTTTTCTTCACTATCTGTTTCTTTTTCTTCATCTTCTTTGGATTCCACTTCATGAACTTTTCTTTTTCCTGTTTCAACTACTATCTTCGTTTTCTTTTTATCTTCTTTTTTCTTCTTTTTATCTTGACAGACTGCAACAAAATGGTTCCTTCTCTGGCACTTCGCACACGTCTTACCATAAGCTGGACACTTTCCTTTTTCGTGATTATAACCACAATATTGACATGATTTTGCTTTATATTTCTTCTCTGTTCTCAATGAACTAACCATGGATTCATTGTTTATTTCCTTACATTGACTTTTACTAGCTTCCACCGCTAAACAAAAATCAATCGCTCCAGTGAGTGTTAGGTTTGATTCTCGTAATAGCTTTTCTCGTGTAGACTTTTCTAAAACACCTATCACTATTCGATCTCTAATGAGTTCGTCTTGTTTTTCGTATTCCGTCGATTTTACAGCTTTTCTTAGTTCAGTTACAAAGGAAGAAAATGGTTGTCCTTCCTTTTGAACAATGCTGTTAAACTTGAAACGTTCATAAACAACATTTTTTCTCGGTACACAATAATTCTCAAATTTTGCTATTATATTATCTAGCTTCTTATTCTCATCACCACTAAATGTAAAACTATTGTATAGTTCCAATCCATCATCACCTATTACGTTCAGGAAGATAGCAATCTTCTTTTGTTCCGGTTTATCTAGTAAGTCAGCAGCCATTAAAAACAACACGAACTTTTGCTTAAATCTTTTCCAGTTTTCAGCTATATTTCCGTCGTTTACGAGCGGATCTGGGGCTCTGATTATGTTTTCCATATTTCCATACACACCTGACACCATGTATGATTCTCAAGGATTAATAAAACAACTAAGGACCATGAATCACGTTTATTGTCTGAACTTAACACACAACAACTATACGAGTGCCGCCATATTCTATTCGATTGCTTACGACACCATTTTAGTCGTTTCTATAACTTATAGTTAGGCAACTTCTAACACAGTTTTACGTTTAAACTAGGGAAAAAAAGGTTTTTCTGGTGACACGAACATTAATTTTGCAAAATCATATCTTCCCCAAAAAATACAGCAAAATGCAGACCTAAAAAGAAAAATAANTGATTAAATTATTAACTTAAGATAGTAAGAACAAAACCGACAATACTTATACAAGCTTAAAACTTCCAAGTTATTAACGTGTACCGAATAATATTCAACATACGCACGCTAAACGTGACGTCATAGCTGAGATGACGTTTCGCGTGTATATAATTTTTTAATTTGCGTACACGTTAGCGTGTACCTAGACACAGCGTTAATTTTAGGACAAATGTGTAAAGGAAAATTTTGTAGGGTATTACATGTTTAATAAAGCAGTCCAACTGATTTTTCTATTTAAGCAATAATTTTTGAGTTATGACACAAACTTGTAATTTTTCTAATGGAAACCATAGTTGGCCATGACTTTATAAAAAAGGCCTTTTCTCATCGATTCTAATGATATACCACTTGACATAGATATTTTTATTAATAAATAAATTATAGCCATTTATTCTTTTAATTTGTTAACTGTTCAGGTAGTATGCTATGGAAACAATTGATATATACGTTTGCAAATGTAAGTTTCCATGATTTCGTACCGCTAGCTTATTAAGTGGTGGTCCCCTGTCGCGTTGAAACCATTTAAACAAATGACGTGTCTGCAGGAGCAATCCATCCAACATATTACTGAACTCGTTCTGTAGAAAGTGAAGATAACGATCTCCGTTTAATGTATCATAAAAAAATGTACGGACCAAGAATTCTTGAACAAATGACACCGCACCAAACATTAAATCCAAACTTAACTTGAGGTCTCCTCTCTTGAACATGGTGCGGATTTTTCTGCATCCATAAAATGTTGATTATGTCTATTAGACATGCCACAGTTTGTAAATCGTGTTTCATCTGTCCACAAAACTTTAATCCAAGCTACATATGATCAGCTTCACACATGTTAATAAACCACGTACAATATTCTATACGCTTATTGTAGCGTATTAAATTGAGTTCATGAAACTGCAATACTTTCCCTATTGAATCGTCTCTCTATCTCCGTTAGTTTTCAAGATCTCTATACTAAACATGGAAAAAAACTCATCCTGCATTTATAGATGCTATATTTGTTCCCATATATTAATAAAATAAAATATTAAAATTCGGATAAAGAATTATACAGGCTTTCCCAAAAGTAATGGATAAATTCGTTAAAACAACTAATAACAGTTTATGAAAAAATCGCTGAGACGAGTCTAAGGATTTAGCAATTTTTTCGTATAGATTTCAAATTCTTTTCGCCATTTATAAACAAGTAATGACGTCATCGCTATTTTTTTCAAATAGCAATCCCCTATTTTTATTATTGAATATGAAAGAGGATTTTTTTCTGAATTTGGTACCGCCAAAATTAATATTAGGTACATAACAAAATTGTCGAGAAATATTGCCTTGAAGTTTCATGATTTCCGATTCATTTGAGGTAGAAAAATAGCAGTAGCCATACGTAACCATGGCAACCAGTTGTTTCGGATATTTTATTAAGACAATAAATAATTTTTGATATCTGAAACTGTTGGTTGCAATGGTTAACTACTGCTATTTTGCTATCTCAGTTAAATAGGACGTTTTCAATAAGATTCAGGTCAGAGTTTAACGCCGGACATTCCATGATCTGAATTCCACGTTCTTGCAAAAAGTTTCTGATGATGCCAGCGGTATGTGGCTTTGCATTGTTCTGCATTTGGATGAAATTTTGACCGACCTCATATGAAGCAGGCACCACGTGATTCACCAAGATGTTTTCGATGTAATTCATGGCGTTTAGTCTACCAGGAACAACAACAAGATCAGTTCTGTTATCTATACTGATTCCAGCCCAAACCATAACAGATCCCCGACCAAATCTATCCACTTCCTGTATAGTAGCGGCTGCGTAGCGTTCACCAGGACTTCTATAATAATAATAATAATGTTTATTCACGTAAGTAATACAGTATTACAGTGAAAAGTTAATAGTAAATACAAAAATAAATATGTTTATAGGTATTATAAGTATAGTACTCCACAAACTGATCCTGCATATAATCAGACCATGCATAGTACTTGACCAGAGTAGACTTCACACATTTTTTGAAGTGTTCTCGTGCCATAATTTTCATTTCTTCTGGCAACTTGTTGAAAAATTTAACTCCCCAGAAATCAGCATATCTTTTAGTTGCTTCTAATAATCTCTGGTAATCTCAGTTGATCTTTGCCTCTTGTGCCGTGTGTGTGAAAGTTTGCATTCGCATTAAATTTACTTCTATTGTCATGAATATACATCAAAGTAGCCAAAATGTATGCACTTGGTACGGTAAGTATACATTCTGTTTTAAATACATCTTTGCAGCTGTCAGTAGTTTCAAGATTGGATAAAGCTCTCACCGTCTTCTTCTGCAAACCAAAAATTCTTCCTAAGCCAGGTGAATGACCCCAAACAACTATGCCATATGTTGCAACAGCATGAAAATTTGCAAAATAGGCTATTTTGGCCACTTCATGAGATGCAATTTTGCTGAGACGTCTAAAATTTAAGGATGATAATTTGCTCTCAGAGAAAATGGTGGAATCAAAAAAAAAGCCTTTTTGCGTAGTAGGACTATTTGTGGACAGATTTATTATTTTTTTTAGATATTCCTTGGAACCTTATTTTTTACAGTTTTTTACAAAAACGGTCAAACACTGACCAACGGTCAATTACTGGCGTTTTACCCTATATTGAAAAATGATGCGTTAATATTAAGTTTTAGTAAAAAAAATGAATGATTTTATTTAACAAGAATGACAAAATCTTACCCTAATTTCCACGACGCTTTACGTCGAATAAATTTTTATTTCCTGATAAAAAAAATTCCGGACAATTCCGTAAATGATAATTACTATTATCAGAAGAAAATATCGTATTGTGAATTAATCCAACAAATTATTCTGTCACAATCGATACTATCACGTTGACGAAAAATTCAGAATGTTATGAAAGCATATCCGGGTTTTCTTATATACCCTTACTAACAAAAACTTGGTCTTAACGTCATTTCTTGGACTGCGTGTTTCAAAACAAATTTTTAACAAAAGTTATATTTAATATTTATATAAAATGAAAATTTATAATTGTTACTAAAATCTTGAATAAAATTTGGAGCAATATTGAAAGTTTATTATTAAAGTAATTAAAGTTTTGTAAAATTTCCACCTATGGTTAAATGGGGAAAGTTGAGGAACGGTTTTATTTTTATAAAATAGGAATCGCCATTTTTGAGGATACTGCTGAAAAGATACATCATAGATCAAAAAAAAAATAATATCAATTACCTTACGTTTCTCTCTTTTTTTTTAACACAAAAAACACAAAAGGGATAATATCCGTAACAAGTTGTTCGTGAACCACTCCTGTGACTGAGTTAAAGCAGTGGAGGATTTTAAAGGTAGTAATTGCTGATCAGAATTTTTTATTAATACGGAAGTATCATCTGCGTACGAATAACAAAGGACCCATTATTGATCCCTGTGGTACTCCACTTATTAGTTTAGATGTTTCAGACGTATTATTTTCCCAAAAAACATATTGCTGCCTACCCACAAGGTATGATCTAAGGAGATTTAGTTCTTGGCCTCTTATACCACAAAAGTATAATTTTCTCAATCGTGGCTCACCGTATCAAACGCTTTACTTAAATCAAGAAAACTGATTTGCACCGACTGTTGTTCGTTCAGGGCGTTTTGTACAAAATCTATAACATCCATTATTGCCGTAATAGTTGACGTACCACTACAATAACCATGCTGCCTGTTGTTTAGAAGGTCAAAGCGATCTAGGAATTTTAGTAACCTTTTATACCAGAAGCCTATTCTAGAGTAGATATAAAATATTACACAAACTCACATTGCGCGAGCACCAGCATTAATTTTTATATCTCGAAATTTAATATAAATAATAGAAAGTTCGTCATTTAGAAATTGCTTAAGAAATTTCAAATGTATATAACTGATAACTAATTGACAAAGTAAGAAGAAAGCATTGATTAGTTACTTTGCAGAAATAAGATATTTGCAATTTCAAAGATATAATCATTTTACCAATACTAAAAATTGCCATAAGTAAAGTTTTATTACGACGTTTTCCTTTTAAAGAAATATCCAACAATGTCTTCGTATAACATTGTCGTCAATCGACCATGAAACTCAAGAACGTCGATTATCTTAATATTTTAATGTTTTTCAAATCTTATTTACATCCATTACGATAAGAAATTCACCGTAAAATATACCAACTTTACTTAATTTTAATCAGTTTACTCAGTTTATAGAGCTTCTGGATGATTTCACTTTCTCTAAGCAAAAGAAAATTGGTGGGGAACTTGAGTAACACTAAGAGTGGGACTGTTAAGACGTTGATACGTAAACGTAAGTGAGACTGCATCTACTCACTTACGTATAATTTCTTACAAAGACCTTCTAGTTCTTTGTATGTTGAAGAAAATAATTGTAATACGGAAGTGCTTCGATTTACGTGTTTTAAAAGGTCAGCGGAAACAAAAAGTGTCTATACGAAAGTTATGATTCAGTGTGTAAATTTGTGGCTTAACATGTTGTTGGGTTTCTTATTGAAGAATTAAGAATTAGAACTTTTTTTTTTGAAAATGTATGCTGTGGAAAGTGTTGTCCTTCGAGTTTCTATTGTATTGTGTATGGTGGCTGCTGTTGTTACTGTATTATATTTCACACCATTACCTGGTAGGTTCACATTTTTTATTAGATTAATTAATTTATTTTAGGTAATGTAAAAGTGAAATAAGTTTTATTTAATTGAAAGTGTTAAGTAATAAAAATTTATGGGTCTATTAAAAAATGTTCGCATAACAAAAACATTGACGTAACAGAGAAGCTGTTGAATAACTTCACAAAACTTTCACTAATACCTTCCTTCCTTCGTTTTTTTATTTAAAGAACTTTGGTTAATGTGAAAATTCTTTGTCTAAGTATATCAATACACTTTCAATTCAAATGAGAATTGAATGAAAATTGTTTGTTAAACGATTTTTTCAATTTCATAATCTCTTTCATAAGAAGATCGAACGGAACATCTGTCTTTCTTTTGATATGCGTAATACACAAATGTTATTAAAACCGGTAATGCAAGTATTGAATTTGGAAAGTGCATGCTTTCACCGGGGCGTTGTTGGTACCTTTTCTCCTTTTCAAAATTGCGGTCTCCAACAAAATAATTATACGCCTTCGTTTGCGATCGCGTCGATCACTTCAAAAAATGCAAGCAAACGGCACTGCACTCACGACTCTAGGTTAAACACAGTGAAAGTGGAAAGCGAACCGAGCAAACATCCACGTCCGTTTCCAATTACTATGCTATTTATTTAATTATAGAAGATTGTTTAAAAACTTATTTTTATATACCATACTTATATACATATAATATAAAAGTTATCATAAAAAAAGGTCAACGGTATTTAAATTTCACTTTATTCAACAGACAATACCTTTATTGTTTGCATCTCACGTCTGCACTCGAACAATAAAAAAGAAATTTTTACAGTTAAGATGACCTTTAACCGATTTTAAAAGAGAACTTCGGCAGTTCCGTTTTTGGAGGTGGAGTGAAATCAACGTGAGAAGAGGAAGAACCTCATTTTATCATCTTCAAAAAACGTTTTCAAATTTTCACTTTCTATCCATGGACAAAAAAATCTTTGTTGTTGAATAAAATTTAAATAAGGAAGAGTGAAACTATCGACACACTTAAAAAAAATCTTTGAATGACATCTACCTTTTTAAGTACAAATATATTAATGTAATCAATTAAAAGAAACTTTCTAATTTGAGATGAATTTTCAGTAAAAGTTTCGATTTAAATAAAGATTTAAATGGCGAAAGCAAATTGACGTTTGATAGTTTTTTAGTCTTAGTACTAGAAAGTAAAGGAAATTTATTACAGTTTAACTTATTTCACATTTCAGATAATTTTACAGAAAGCTGTGATCGTCCGTGTAAAGATTTCGACTGGCCGATGATATGTAGATACAAATTTGCCATAGAAAAGACTGGAAGGTAACAATTTATTAAATTAATATTTATGCACTCATATTCCTCATTTATTCCCATTTTTACTTTTTATTATAACACACACAATTAACTATAAATACACTGTGTTAATTAATTATCGTACCCGACGTCATCATTGCAAGTATGCAACCAATATCACAGTATTCATATTGCAATACACAAATCGCGTTATTGGTTGCATACTTGGAATGATGACGTCGGGTACGATAATTAATTAACACACTGTACATTAATTCGTTCTGGAGATACGACTTTTTAAATATTTATTTGCAAAATATAAAAAAACGTCAAGTTGGATTTAAAAAATCAGAACAACGATGTTAATGGAAAATGAGAGCTGATTTACATATAAACTAGTGATGGAATGGATAGTGATTTTGTGAAAAGCCGGATACCGGACCATTATGGTTATAATTTCTGGTATATTTCTGAAGTGATACCTTACATTGCCACATTATTGCGATATTTGAATAAAAATGAAATTAATAAGAAAGCTGATAAGATAAGTCAACTTATTTGGATCCAAGATACAAATTGAACTTTTTTAATGCTAATTTAACTACGAAGCAACTCTAAAAAATGGTTTTCTCAAAAACTAAGCGTTATTTTTAAAAACGTGTTGGTTCGTTGGAAAGAGGACGCTTATTAACACTTTGGGAAATTTTCAAACTCATATTCCAAGAAATGGATTTTATACGAATTTTTAAAATTTAATCGGCGATAATTGCAAAATTCGAAAAAATTGTCGATTATTTCAAAACTTTATTTCTCAAGAATTAAAAGTGATTTTTCAAAACGGCTTTTTGCATTAAAAAGAGGATACTTTAATTAATAATTAGTGATATTTCCATAAGGATCCTTCAAGAAATTAGTTTTATAGCGAATTTTGAAAATTATCGATGAAAATTACAACATCGAAAATTTTATCAAAACTTGAAATATTGTTTTCTCAAAAACTAAAAGTTATTTTTTAAAACGTGTTGGTTCGTTGGAGAGAGGACACGCTTATTAACACTTTGGGAAATTTTCATACTCATATTCCAAGAAGTGGATTTTATACGAATTTTTAAAACTTAGTCGGCGAAAATTGCAAAATTCGAAAAAATTATCGATTATTTCAAAAATTTATTTCTGAAGAACTAAAAGTGATTTTTCAAAACGGCTTATTGCATTGAAAAGAGGATACTTTAATTAATAATTGGTGATATTTCCACAAGGATCCTTCAAGAAATTAATTTTATAACGAATTTTGAAAATTATCAATGATAATTGCAATATCCTAAATGTTATCAAAACTTCAATTATTGTTGTCTCAAAAACTAAAAGTTATTTTTCAAAACGTGTTGGTTCGTTGGAAAGAGGACACTCTTATTAACACTTTGGGAAATTTTCATACTCATATTACAAGAAATGGATTTTATACGAATTTTTAAAACTTAATTGGTGAAATTTTAAAACTTAATCGGCGAGAATTGTAAAATTCGAAAAAATTGTCGATCATTACAAACATTTATTTCGCAAAAATTAAAAGCGATTTTTCAAAACAGCTTGTTGCATTAAAAAGAGGATACTTTAATTAATAATTGGTGATATTTCCACAAGGATCCTTCAAGAAATTAATTTTATAGCAAATTTTGAAAATTATCGATGAAAATTGCAACATCGAAAATTTTATCAAAACTTCAAATATTGTTTTCTCAAAAACTAAAAGTTACTTTTCAAATCGTGTTGGTTCATTGGAAAGAGGACACTCTTATTAACACTTTGGCAAATTTTCATACTCATATTCCAAGATCTGGATTTTATACGAATTTTTAAAACTGAATCCGTGGAAATTTATTTCTCAAGAACTGAAAGTAATTTTTCAAAACGGCTTTTTGCATTAAGAAGAGGATACTTTATTAATAATCGAAATTGATAATAGCGATAGTTCTGTTAATGTGATGATGAATTACAAGCGAACAGAAGAAAACTAGACGAAACTGCAACAAGAGATTTTATATATCGTATTGGGATTGTTACAATGAGGTTGCTAAAGATAAACCTGATATAAATAAAGTTGTATTCAATGAAAGAAGTCCTATTGGGGTTGTACTTGATTATTATCTGCAGTGTCCAACACCTAAAACAGATACTAATTCCTGTGATTTGGTAACTATCCTGTATCTGGCCGGATTTAAAAAAATATAAAATACCGGATAGTTACCGGATATCCGTTCCACTATAATATAAACCATTAAATATTCGTTAAATTAGGTTTAAAATACTCTGTGTTTAATCGTGATGTCTCAATTCGTTCTTAAGATATGATTTTTATACTTTTTTTATACTTCAAAACTGTAACAACTAAATAAGCAAAGTTGGGCTTCAAAAATAATTATACCGAAGCTAATGGAAAATAAGAATTTATTTATGGCTTAATTAAATTTGCTTTAAAATGCTCTTTAGCTTAATTTATATTTTCAATTTACTAGCCACAAACTGTTACATACCATACGAAGGCACGTATTATTTAACTTATTAATTAATAAACCCACATATTAGCTTTGATCTAATGTAAGTAATTGCATATTTATTCAACTAATCAAATTGCAGATTATGGGAAAAATATAACTGACGAATTATTTTACGAATATTTTAACGTCTTCATGTTAAACTAATCGATATTATTCGTTGTTTTTTTATTTAATTTATTTTTCATATATTTTCAGCAAATGCGAAAAATGCAGTAATTCCTCAGAATGTGATCGAAGTTGCTCAAAAACCATCTACACTATAAATCAACAATTACCGGGACCAGCAATACACGTTTGTCAGAATGATATCGTTTTAATCGACGTAACTAATAGAATTCCCGGTAGAAGTTTATCGCTACATTTTCGTGGCCAAAGTCAAGAAGAATCTCCTTTTATGGACGGGGTTCCAATGATTACTCAATGCCCGATAACAAGTTATACAACTTTTCAATATAAATTTAGAGCCTCAACGTCGGGAACACATTTTTATAGCGCCCATTCGGGTGCTTTGGCTGCGAATGGAATTTACGGTGCTTTAATCGTTCGACAACCAGCAAGATTAGAACCTAATAAGCGGTATTATGATTTCGATGAAAAAGTCCATTCGATAATGATTTCTGAATGGTTACCCGGATTCGTTTCCGATTTAGATTATCAAATTGAACAGCCCACCGATATTTTAGTTAATGGTAAATTGAAATCGGATCCGCCGATTTTTACAGTAAGTTATGGAAATAGATATCGTTTTCGGTTAAGTTACTCGGCCACAATCGCTGGGTGTCCGATCACTTTCTCGATTAATAATCATCCGATAAAAGTAATTAGCGTCGATGGAAATCCAACAAATCCTTATGAAGTGCGAAGCGTCACCTTGAATAAAGGCGAAAGAATCGACTTTATTCTAAAAGCTAAACAACAATTTGGGGATTATTTTATTAAATTTAATTCAACGTGTTTTCCGAAAATTAGTGGTGAAGGAATTATTAGATACTCCGAGCGAAATAAATCTGTAATTGAAGAAATTGAAACAGAGACTACTGTGAGGGAATTTAACACGGGAGTTTGTGATTCGAAATTGGGAAGAGTTTGTATTGGGGATATTCATGCAGTTAAGAAGATTCCAAGAGTTTTGAAAGATAAATTGGTTGATAAGAAATTGTTTTTTGATTTCAGTTCGATTTTAATCCAAAATGAAGGTAAGAATTTAAGTTCATTATCGAATTTAAAAGAATCGCGTTTTAAAATCTATACCGTGCGCGTCAAATGTAACTCTTCTTCTAACTAATTTGAAAACGGTTCGAGATATCGTCATAAGTCAAAATAGACGAATTTTGTTTTTATTAATTCAAATATTTTAGCATAAAATTTTTTTATAATTTTTAGTTAATGAATCATCTTAATTTTTTTCTAATGGAACATTCTATATGTTATAGCATTTTCTAATAGAACCAAAAAGACGAGTCAAAAATATTGGTTATTCAGTTTTTAAATAAAAATTTTGATAAACTGCAGAGTGTGCAACTTTTAACCCTGTCACTGCTAATGCGTTTTTAATAATGTTTACGTACATGCACATGAATGCACACGTATAGGACAATTTACAATGTTGGACGTAAAGTAACTGTAGATTCTAGGAATGGAAATAATGAGAAACTTACTTGTTGTATTATTTCTTGCATAAATTGGGTCAATTTATATTGATTTCTTTTGATAAATTAGGTGGTTATAAAACTGTACACTAGTATCACTAGTTTTTAATTTTACAAAAAAACTGTTGGGCTTTTTGATGGTGATAATGTCGAAAAATGTTGTTTACTGATTAAAAACGTACTGCTTCTACACTTTATGGCTCAATCATTACAAACAGCTGTGTATAGCTTTATAAATTAATTGTGGAGTGTAATAAATGTGTTGGAAAGAATAAAAAATCCGTAATATGACCAACTTTATTATGAAACAAAGTGAACGTACTAGATGTCTTCAAGTTTCGGCAGTTTGTTGTCTGGAATTCTATACGAACGTGGTTGTGCCAAAATCTTCTCCGCTGTCTTCTCTATCCCACAATATCCTGAATCGCACATTGACCCATCTGGTCTTTCCGGAGATTGTAGGCAAGGTATTCATTTCTGCTACTTAATATACTCTTATTTTTAGTTTTGTTTGTCTTCGCGTATTTCAAGGCCATAAGTCATTATTCGACGGATTTTAGCCTAAAATTGCGGACGCTACTGTTTAAGATATACAAGCCCAAGTAGGAAATTTATATGACTTATTCGATGAGTTTGGTAAAATCCATGTTGCAAGATATAGTCGAAATAAAATTTCAATAAAACAAAAACTTCTTTCTTGCTCTTTGTTATAAAATAACCTCGGTACCGGTTTCGGCTATTAATACACACTAAAATATTTTTTTATAAATAAAATTAATTTTTACATTTTTTTCAAAAATTTCTGATGTAAGGGTATAAAAATTTTACGTCATCGTAAAGAGAAAAGTAATTTCTATCAAATCAGCCTAAAGAAAGGATACATTGCCATTTAAAAAACTTCAAGTATTATTCGTTGCTCGTTTGTTTTCTGAAACAAAAACAATTGAATGCTTTCTTATTATGGGAAATAAAATATTAAATTGTATAAAATGCTTTTTTTATGAAGTTGATATTTACCAAGATATATATATGTACTATATTCCATACATAATGGGCAGCCTGTATAGTTCCTGTATAGTTAGTTAGGTAATGGACGGTCGTCGTGGATGATCCTGTATAATTGCATATTAGTTGCAACAGCGTCAATAAGATGTAAGCTGCAAGTCAACAACACACTCTCATCGAATAAAATTTCAATAAACCAAAAACTTCTTTCATGCTCTTTATTATAAAACACCGGTTTCGGCTATTAATAAGTAGCTATCAACAGCAGAATCTACATATTTGAAAATCACACTAAAATATTTTTTTTATAAATAAAATTAAAAACATCTAAACTTACGGTCAATAAAATCTCTAACACCTATCGAAATTTGAATTCACGATCACATCAATTCGGCATTTTTTGTTAAAAGAAAAAGTCATATTCAGCAAGGCAAAAAAAAAAAGGAAAAATTTGACAAAGATTCTGAAATAAGAAAATATCGTTGAAAAAGCATTTAAAGGGAACATTATAAAAACTTACTTGAACTAATAAAATTATTAACATGTTAAGAATCCGGATGACTACAGATAAACAACTACATTACATATTTGCGACACGACATCCAACGACATCAATCAACCACGAAGAAGACAAGAACGAAGGATGGATTCTGCGCATTAAAAAACTTAGATGACAACATGTCATGTTGCAGGAAAGTGAAGAATTCGAATTTAATTTTTTAATCTTTTACGTCTGTATGTACAGGGTGTCCAAATTTCGATGGGTTTGCAGGGTATCTCAGTTATTATGAAAGATAGAAAGTTGCGGCTTTCGCGAACCTGAGCTACTTTTTTGTGAAACTTACAATGGCGCAAACCAAATTTTCATAGCCCTCTTCGTTTTTGATATACAGGGAGTGTTTGAAATTTACGATTTTCAGACATCTCCTGTATCTCGACTATCCGCAAACTTAGTGAAAAAGTAAAAACGGATTCTAATAGATTTTTTCACGTAGAATCCAATGGTGCACGTAGAATTTTTCTAGTCATCACGGTTTTTGAGTATGTTTATATCTCCACATCTTAAATGAGCCTAATTCTGTAAATTTTTGCACTGATGTGCAAAATGTTAGCGACATTTATTGCAATCTGGTCAAGTTACATGTTGCTCGTCCCCCACCTCTCGACGATTCGTCCTTCGGTGAGGTTTGGTTTTGACCTTGGTTGGTTTTCAAATTTCCCGCCTTGTGGTTGGGGAATTGTCTTTTTGCCGTTTTTGTTGGGTTGGTATGGCTCTCGGTTTTAATTGTCATTGTTGTTTGTGGTTTTATTCTCGAATTTGATTGTTCCTGTGCCATCGTGCTGGATTTTTGGTTTTGCGGTGGTTTTTTGGGCCGTTTATTGTCTGGCCCCCTGTTTCACTTATGGGTTTTTGTATTTTTGTGACTTGCAACCTCTATTTGTAAGTTAGGTTAAGTTTTTTATTGTATAATTTGTTTGATTTGTTCCTTTTATTTCAAATAAAATAGCGTTCCTCTGATGAAGAATTAAAAATAAAAATTCGAAAGCTAAGGTACTAGAAAAGGAGGTTTTTATTCACCCCACAGTTGATGATCACAGTATTTGGCTCCGTACTTAAATTATATACAACCAGTAACTTACTTTACCTCTACTAAAGAAATTTGTATTTGAAACATTTTTCTTTAAAATCACAAATGGCGAAGTTATTGGCAATATTCCAGACATTTGACACACCCTGTACAACACGCACAATATTTTAGAACCTCTCAGATTTTTCGAACATTTCGACAATCACCACAAAATCAATAACGACGAAAAATAAAGCTCATCTCCGTGTATCAAATACACCTCAAAATTAAAATTCAAGCCAGTTGCACTTTGCGCTATCTAATGTAGGTTTTATTTGGTCAATATCATCAATACAACCTCTTTATTTGGTAAGGACAAAAGGCTAAAGCAGTGTCAATCATATTGAAAATTTTCTGTTCTTTCTATCAATGCAAAGCAAAAATCGATTACAATATTTTAAAACCATTTCTTTCTGCAAAACAGCCTTATCGGTGCATTTATGACGCCCATTGAATCACTTTCGACACAATAACATTTTTATATTACAGGCACAAATTTCTAATACCACATAGAATCGATGAGAACTTTTAATCGCTAATCGAAAAATTTTTCTTTCTTTATTGACGAAAACCTACTTTCATCAAACTGTCTGGTATGTTGACGTTCCCAACCCAACCCTCATGCATAAACTGAAAAACTTTCGAAAGATTGTTCGGGTTCTACCTCATAATGTTCCTTTGTTTATAAAATACCACATACTTTATTTAATGAAACTTTCATAAGTAAACTAATATCCCAACAAGCAACAAAGGATTTTCGTTTCCACATACCTAATAATTTAGGCGCAGTGTCACCAGGAAGAGAAACTTTGTTACGTTACCCTGAGTTTAACACACATCAGTTAACAGATTATTAACGTGACTCATCCTGCATCACCTTACGAAGCTGTATGCTGTAAAATTAAGGGTGAAGGAAAGATCAGGCTTTCTAGTGGTGTATTGAATATTTCGCTATCTCCAAAGACAACGAAGGTATCGATGACTAAAGAAAAGCAAGCATTAAAGTTTGTTTCTGAGTGTTTAGTTGCTGTACGGGTTAGGTTGAACTTTTACGATATACATATAAAACAACCTTATAAATCCTAAAACACGCAATTATCTTGGGTAATTTATAAAACGGTTTAGGGTAGAAACGTTTATATTGCGGTCGTTGTAACTCACTTTGCTTAACTACTTTGTTCCACCTTGCTACTCCAGTACTCGAATGATGCCTATTAGGCGTCTTTATACATACTGTTCTATAGTTCAACAAACGTTAAATTAAATCGATAATTATTAAAAATTCATATGAATTGAACTGTTCACCTTGGAAACTTTAAATTTGGTGTAATATAAACTCAAACGAACTTTTTTTAACTTCACTTTTAACAAACTTAAATTGAATTTATAATTTTTGAAAATTCATATAAATTAATTACAATATAATGTTGTAAACATTTTAATTCTTTTTTTATAGAACAAGGTGATGCGAATCGAAAGATCCATACAGTGAACAACATTACTTTTATCTACCCGTCATCTCCACTTTTAACTCAAATTTACGACGTTCCTGCAAGTACTTTATGTAATACGCTGTTTTTACCTGAAAAATGCAAACATTCCCATCTGTGTGAATGCACTTATATCGAAAATATTCCTTTGGATTCAACGGTGGAGTTAATAATCAGCAATCAAAGTAAGTAATAATTAACTCTAATAAAGAAATGTTTGTTTGTGGTTGTTTTAATCAAGTTTAAATTAAATTTTTTAGATGCTGATGCATCAGAATATATTTTCCACTTACATGGTTATCATTTCTACATAATCGGATCCCGACAGTTTCAAAACCCTGTACCATTAGATCTTCTTAAAACAATGGATGAAAACGAAGATTTATTTTCTCGTAATTTAATTAACCCGCCATTAAAAGATACAATTCGTGTGCCTAAATTTGGAATCGTGGCTGTGAGATTTATTGCTAACAATCCAGGTAAACTTAATAATAACACTAATAAATAGCAACATTTTTACTAATTTTTCTTTATATTTCTTAAGGTTTTTGGATGTTACGCGATGAACGAACGAAAATTTGGTCTCAAGGATTAGATGTGGTTTTAAAAGTAGGCGAGTTAAGAGATTTTATAAGCCCCCCATCGAGTTTCCCAAATTGCGGAAGTTGGATTGGACCAGAATTTTTCTTCGAATAAAAAATGTATTCTTTTTTGTAAGATAATTGTGTTTTTAGTGGAAATTTGTGTTCTTGTTGATAATCGTATACAATTGTTATTTATTTCTTTGAAATAAAATATTTATTTTTTAAACTGTTTTCTTAAATCCCATTTTAACTTGGCATTCCAAATAGGTACTAGAATCTACCTTTAGTTCGTTTGAAAACTAATTGAATTTCAGTGTTGCATCCTTTCTTATTATAAATTATTTTTCTATTTAGTGCATCGTGTTACAACTCTTTAAATTGAGTCACCTCGCTCAGGGTTGGTTGAAGATACGTTATTTTTAACATGCGTGTGCATTTCGATATGTTCAAGTTAGTTTTCAACGAGCTGTGAGTCTAAGTGTAACTTGAATTAAATGATTCAAAATATTTTAAGGTAAGTACAATTTCTACAACAACTCTCTATATCTATAATAAAAGCTTTCAATACAATGTTATTAGCAAGTCAACCTTGTCGAGTGCACTTGGCAATCGATACCTCCATTCAAAGCCGTATTTAAGAATATCCCGCTATTTAGGGCTTAGATAAAAATAGATAGATCGTTTTAATTCGTAATAACTATGTACATTTTGTGGACGATTAAAGTAATATTAGGTGGTTTCTTTGAATGAAGCACTTATATCTGGATGGAACTGGTTCGGGTCTAATTACATCATCCTAATGTTTAGAAATCAAAATTAATTCATTTTTTGAATTTAAAATTATCGATCTTTTTTTAATTAGCGTTAGAATATTTTGCACAAAAAATAAACTTAATTAACCAAATTAATTCCAATATCAATAACATATTATTGTTTTTATTTTTAATGTACGCACGTGCATCTTCATTGGTGATTATGGTGCTGTTTTAGTTCATCAAATTTGCGAAACCACGCAGTAATTGAAATCAATTTCTCTTCGATTGTTATTAATTGACGATCTCGGATACAATTGATGCGAATATAGATAAAATGGTTTGTTATATGTTGCACTCGGTTCTTAATTGTTGTTGTGTTGGTGTACTAAAGTAGATCTACATATTTTTCATGGATGTTTAATCATATCTATTTCAAAAGAATAAGGTAAAGTGTTTAAACTCAAATTATTTAGACATTTAGCCTAAACTGGTACTTTGAAAAGTTATATCACTCCTGTTTTTAAGTACAATTTTTGAATTTTACGGTTATTATTGTTCAATAACTTGAGATATTCGAAGATAGTATCGAGAGTGCTCAACTTTCAAGCATCCTGATGTATTTTTACACAGAAAATATCTTAAAATGAAAATCCTAAATCGATTTTAAAACATAGATTGTATTCAATTTGTATTCAATCAACTTAATCGAGTTAAACGACAATATTTTGATGACTTGTTTTAAGTCAAAAACTAAAAACATAAAATTAATAATCAATAAATTAATTGTTTCCTTATAATCTCAAATAATCTCATTAATTAAATCCCAAACATTCTAGAGAAAAATGTTTTTAACCTTACTTTTAACAAACGTTAAATTAAATCGATAATTGTTAAAAATTCATATAAATTAGAAACTTTAAATTTGGTGTAATATAAACTCAAACGATTCTTTATATCCTTAAATTATTTCGCTCCTTAATTCCTGACTGTTTGAGAGAAAACTTTTTTATCTCCACTTTTAACAAACTTAAATTGAATTTATAGTTTTTGAAAATTCATAGAAACTAATCGTTAGCTGCAATTACAATATAATGTTGTAAACATTTTAATTGTTTTTTGTTTAATTCTAATAGAGATTTTATGGTATCTCTAGTCTCCATAACAGTAACTTTATTCTCTCTGTTGTGGTTGTATTTTTTTCAAATTGCCAGAGCATAAAACTGAGTAGTCGTTGTTTAGAGTAGTCTCTCCTCGCCTATTCCATCTTGTGTCATTTATACCGGGTATACTAACTTTATATCTTTCGTATTCTTGTGGTACTTCTAGATTCACTTATTTGGTACATGGTTTTGACATTTCAACAGGCTATATGGACCATTTCGTGTACATCTAGTCCCGCACTCAATTTTTCTGCTTTCGTTGTCGTTTATGTACCCTCTATCCGGGAATTTTCCTATCCATTTCTTATTTTATCTGTTCATCTATTACATCAAAATCCTTTTCCATTGCAAGTTGTCTTGTATGTTCTTCCATTTCCACTACTATCCGTGCAAAAAGTCAAGGCCCCTCACTTTAGAGGACCTTTAGATTAGCCTGATGTGTTCTTAATGAGTGGCATATTTTATTTTTTCGATATTGCATACAGTTTCGCGGAATATCGCGGTTTAGTAAGACGCCGTTATGTCGAAAACAGCTGGTTCGATTTCCACGCGGATTTCACCAAAATATGTCAAATAATGTCGGTTGTCGGATTCCGTTATCAGTTTTTCAAAATTAGAGCTCCCTAATTTTTTAAGAGCGATTTAATGGAATTATAAATTAAAGAGAAACAGAAAGCTATTTCTGCGGGGTGACGGGGGTTCCGTCCAATCGGAACAGATGGTGCGTCCTAGACAGCACGTCGCGCCTCATTTCTTTATGTAGGTAAGATAAAGGCGCGACGTACTGTCTGGGCGTAACATCTGTTCCGATTGGACGGAACCCTCCTCTCCCCGCATAGCTTATTTCTGTTTCTCATTAATTTGTAATTCCATTAAATCAGTAAGGATCAGTAAGGTTTTTCGAAATGCTATACAGGGTGTTCAAATTATAGTATCAAAGTTGAACTTAAGAAAAGCCCTAAAAGTCAATTCTTTTAACTAGCAATATGGAGTGGTTTTTTTAATTTTACAGCAAATTACAATCAAAGTAGGAGCCAAAATAACGCCGTTGACAGCTTTAAATGTCAAAAAATTGACAGTTTAAACAAATATGGCGCAACTAAGCTAACGACAAAGAATCCAAATATTAATAATGTATGGGTACTGTGCAGGTGATAGAAAACGCACTCAAAGTGAGGTTTGTACACTGTTCAATAATATTTACCCGGATACACAAATTACACAATCCACAGTATCCAAAATTTTAAAAAAAATTTTAACACCGGAAGTGTTAAAAACCTTCCAAAAAGTTGATGGCCGAAGACAGTTACCAATGACCATACATTATTAATTATTCATTATTGTTGAAACTGTAATTTTTTTGAAATTTAAAGCGGTCAACGCCGTTATTTCGGCGCCTACATTGATTGTAATTAGCTGATTTTAGACTTTCAAAAAACGCATTTTTTTTTCGATTTTTTTCTTATACAACTATATGATTTGATATGTTCATCGCATAGAGGGACTTATCCTCTATTAAAGTATGCAAAAAAGAATATATGCATCCAATTTAAAATAACAATGTTGGTTGCCATAGCAACGAAACAAAAAATAATACAAACAAGCAAATATCGCCAAAAAATGCGCCATGATTAATAAAGAAATTTGTATTTGAAACATTTTTCTTTAAAAACATAAATGGCGAAGTTATTGACAATATTCCAGCCATTTGACACACCCTGTATACGCATAATATTTTAGAACCTCTCAGATTTTTCGAACATTTTGACAATCACCACAAAATCAACGACAAAAAACAAAGCTCATCTCCGTGTATCAAATACACCTCAAAATTAAAATTCAAGCCAGTTGCACTTTGCGCTATCTAATGTGGGTTCTATTTGGTCAATATCATTAATACAACCTCTTTATTTGGTAGGAACAAAAGGTTGTTTTCTGTTCTTTCTATCAATGCAAAGCAAAAATCGATTACGATATTTTAAAACCATTTCTTTCTGCAAAACAGCCTTAATGGTGCATTTATGACGCCCATTCATCACTTTCGACACAATAACATTTTTATATTACAGGCACAAATTTCTATTACCACATAGAATCGATGAGAACTTTTAATCGCTAATCGAACAATTTTTCTTTCTCTATTGACGAAAACCTACTTTCATCAAACTATGTCTGGTATATTGATGTTTCCAACCCAACCCTCATGTATAAACTGAATGGGCTTTCTCAAACAGAACCCAACTCAGAAAAACTGAGCTCTCTAATTTTTTAAGAGCGATTTAATGGAATTATAAATTAAAGAGAAACAGAAAGCTTATTCATGCGGGGTGATGGGGGTTCCGTCCAATCGGAACAGATGGTGCGTCCCAGACAGGACGTCGCGCCTCATTTCTTTATGTAGGTAAGATAAAGGCGCGACGTACTGTCTGTGTGCAACATCTGTTCCGATTGGACGGAACCCTCCTCTCCCCGCATAGCTTATTTCTGTTTCTCATTAATTTGTAATTCCATTAAATCGCTATTAAAAAATTAGGGAGCCCTAATTTTGAAAAACTGATAACGGAATTCGACAACCGACATTATTTGACATATTTTGGTAAAAACCGCGTTGAAATCCGCCAGGTCCGCGAAACTATATGGAATATCGAAAAAATAAAATATGCCCGACATTAAGAACACATCGGTTAACCACCAGTTCAAATTTGAAATTTTTTCGTCAAATAATTTTGGAGAAAAGAAATCGCAAAGTAAACAAAGTTGCTAGCACTCTCAAAAATCGGGTACTTCTTTCACTTAACTCGTGATAAGAGAAAAACCGCGGACCCGAAAATTTTCAAATTAACATGTCATACGCAGAAATGTTCACTGATTATAATAAACTTTACTGCAATTTTTTCCATCGAGCTGTTACGAAGATATCGATCTCTAAAGTGAGGGGCCTTGACTTTTTGCACGGATAGTAGTCCTTCCTCGTGTTCTTGCCATTCATAATAAACATCGTTTATGAATACTTTCGTGAAAGCCATCTTTAATTTCTTCCTTTCTCTTTATTTCATTTGGCTATATTTCTGATTTCAGCCTGTATTGTACCTTTTTCTCTTTTAGATAGCTTTCTATGTAAATTATGGCTTCCCTTTAGCTTATTTTTGTTTTTAAGGACTGATATCTTTTCCTCGAATTCATCCAGCTCTACCGTTAGAATTTTTTATTTATACTAATATTTATTTCACTCTTCGATTAAGTTTTCCATACCTTTAGTTCCGTAGATTCTTCCCCTGTTATTACAATCTTGTTTCCATGTTGCTCACTAT